GGCTTACCCCTTACCATTTTGGTCAATTTTGACGACTTTTTGAACTGTTCAAAAACTGTCTTAAAATGCTAAAAATTGCTTCCTAAGACTAATATGTTTCATTTTAGATCATATTTTGTTAGTTTTTGGAACATTGAAAAAGTCGTGAAAATTGACCAAAATGGTAAGGCTTACCCTTACCATTTTGGTCAATTTTGACGATTTTTTGAATTGTTCAAAAACTGTCTTAAAATGCTAAAAATGGCTTCCAAAGACTAATATCTTTCATTTTAGAGCATTTTTGTTTGGTTTTTAGAACAATGAAAAAGTCGTTTTTCATTTTATTGTTAGAATCAATACAAGATGCGGTGGCCAAGTGGTTAAGGCTACCGCCCTACTAGGTTGTGAGCGTAGGTTCTAATCCTCGAAGGAAGAAGTGCAATTTTTCACTCCTAAATTGCTATTTAATTTTAAATTCTTCGAATAGGATTAAGTCGAATAAAGACCAATCGCTTTCGATGAATGATGCTGCGGCCCAGTGGTTAAGGCTACGGCCTACCACGTGGTAAGCCTAGGTTCGAATCCTGCATGGGAAAGTTCGATTTTTCCCACCAAAATTATTCTTTAATTTAAAATTCATCGAAAAGAATTAGGTCAAATAAAGAACAATAGCTTTCGACAAATGATACGGTGGTCTAGTGGTTAAGACGGTCGTTTCTCACTCCGAGGACAAACGTATCAACTCCGGGCAATGTAAAAAAATTAGCCTGAAAAATTTCGGTGTGATTTGGAAGCTTTTAAAACCATTAAAAGGCTTTTAGCCCTTTGGGAAAAGACTGTAAATCGAAAAAAAGTTGAAATAAAAAAACTGAAAAAATTTCTAACGTTCAAAAGTACCTGAAAATTGCAAAAAGTTTTAAAATCATGTGTCTTCTAAAAAGTCTGAAAATTAAGAAACACAGAAACAAAACTAAAAAATATCTAAAAATTTCCCGCTTTTAAAAAATTCATGTTTACTTACCTTAATTTTTTTTCACGAAAATTTGACAGGGTGATTTTCTCGAGAATGAAAAAATTTAATTTTTTTCACTTTTTTGAAATTCTCTTAGATTTTTTTTTGACGAAAAAGTATTTTGTCTTGGGCTACCTGTGTCTGTCTTGGGCTACCTGTGTCTTGCTTGACACAGGTAGCCCAAGACAAAATACTTCCGCGTGAAAAAAAAATCTAAGAGAATTTTAAAAAAAGAAAAAAATTAAATTTTTTCATCCTCGAGAAAATCACCCTGTCAAATTTTCGTGAAAAAAAATTAAGGTACGTAAACATGAATTTTTTAAAAGCGGGAAATTGTTAAATCTTTTTTCCGTCTGACTTTCTTCATTTTCGGGCTTTTTAGAAGACACGTGTTTTTAAAACTTTTTTTGATTGTGCTTTTCTTTCAATTTTCAAGTACTTTTGAACGCGAGAGTTTGTTTTCATTTTTTTTATTTTAATTTTTTTTCAATTTACAGACTTTCGCAAAGGCCGAGAAGTCTTTTAACTGTCTTAAACATTCCAAATGAAACCGAAATTTTTCTGGCTATTTTTTTTGCTTTGCCAGGAGTTGAAACGTTTGTCCTCGGAGTGAGAAACGAACGTCTTAACCATTAGACCACCACATCATTTGTCGAAAGCTATTGTTCTTTATTTGACCTATTTCTTTTCGATGAATTTTAAATTAAATAGTAATTTCGGTGGGAAAAATCGAACCTTTTCCATGCAGGATTCGAACCTACGCTTACAACCTAGTAGGCCGTAGCCTTAACCACTGGGCTACCGCAATAACATATATATTAAGGCTGCTATCAACATATAATTATAATCCGATGGCCCACTGGTTAAAGCTACGGCCTACCAGGTTGTAAGGGTGGGTTCGAATCCTGCATGGGACAGGTTTGATTTTCCCACCGAAATTGCTATTTAATTTAAAATGATTAAGGATTAGGTAAAATAGAGAACAATAGCTTTCGACAAATGACGCGGTGGTCTAGTGGTTAAGACGTTCGTCTCTCAATTCGGGGACAAACGTTTCAATCCCTTGTAATGCAACAAATTTAGCCTGAAAAATTTCGGTGTGATTTGGAATGTTTAAAACAGTTAAAGACTTCTCGGCCTTTGCGAAAGACTGTAAATTGAAAAAAATTAAAATAAAAAAAAAATGAAAACAAATTCTCGCGTTTAAAAGTACTTGAAAATTGAAAGAAAAGCACAATTAAAAAAAGTTTTAAAAACACGTGTCTTCCAAAAAGCCCGAAAATGAAGAAAGTCAGACGGAAAAAAGATTTAACAATTTCCCGCTTTTAAATGCTTTAAAATGTTTACGTACCTTAATTTTTTTTCACGAAAATTTGACTGGGTGATTTTCTCGAGGATGAAAAAATTTAATTTTTTTCATTTTTTTGAAATTCTCTTAGATTTTTTTTTCACGCGGAAGTATTTTGTCTTGGGCTACCTGTGTCAAGCAAGACACAGGTAGCCCAAGACAAAATACTTTTTCGTCAAAAAAAAATCTAAGAGAATTTCAAAAAAGTGAAAAAAATTAAATTTTTTCATTCTCGAGAAAATCACCCTGTCAAATTTTCGTGAAAAAAAATTAAGGTAAGTAAACATGAATTTTTTAAAAGCGGGAAATTTTTAGATATTTTTTAGTTTTGTTTCTGTGTTTCTTAATTTTCAGACTTTTTAGAAGACACATGATTTTAAAACTTTTTGCAATTTTCAGGTACTTTTGAACGTTAGAAATTTTTTCAGTTTTTTTATTTCAACTTTTTTTCGATTTACAGTCTTTTCCCAAAGGGCTAAGAGCCTTTTAATGGTTTTAAAAGCTTCCAAATCACACCGAAATTTTTCAGGCTAATTTTTTTACATTGCCCGGAGTTGATACGTTTGTCCTCGGAGTGAGAAACGACCGTCTTAACCACTAGACCACCGTATCATTTGTCGAAAGCTATTGTTCTTTATTTGACCTAATTCTTTTCGATGAATTTTAAATTAAAGAATAATTTTGGTGGGAAAATCGAACTTTCCCATGCAGGATTCGAACCTAGGCTTACCACGTGGTAGGCCGTAGCCTTAACCACTGGGCCGCAGCATCATTCATCGAAAGCGCTTGGTCTTTATTCGACTTAATCCTATTCGAAGAATTTAAAATTAAATAGCAATTTAGGAGTGAAAAATTGCACTTCTTCCTTCGAGGATTAGAACCTACGCTCACAACCTAGTAGGGCGGTAGCCTTAACCACTTGGCCACCGCATCTTGTATTGATTCTAACGATAAAATGAAAAACGACTTTTTCATTGTTCTAAAAACCAAACAAAAATGCTCTAAAATGAAAGATATTAGTCTTTGGAAGCCATTTTTAGCATTTTAAGACAGTTTTTGAACAATTCAAAAAGTCGTCAAAATTGACCAAAATGGTAAGGGGTAAGCCTTACCATTTTGGTCAATTTTCACGACTTTTTCAATGTTCCAAAATCCAACCAAATATGATCTAAAATGAAAGATATTAGTCTTAGGAAGCCTTTTTTAGCATTTTAAGACAGTTTTTGAACAGTTCAAAAAGTCATCAAAATTACCAAAATGGTAAGGGGTAAGCCTTACCATTTTGGTCAATTTTGACCACTTTTTCAATGTTCCAAAAACCAAACAAAAATGTTCTAAAATGAAAGATATTACTCTTTGGAAGCCATTTTTAGCATTTCAAGACACTTTTTGAAAAGTTCAAAAAATCGTCAAAATTGACCAAAATGGTAAGGGGTAAGCCTTACCATTTTGGTCAATTTTAACGAGTTTTTCAATGTTCCAAAAACCAACCAAATATGATCTAAAATGAAAGATATTAGTCTTAGGAAGCCATTTTTAGCTTTTTAATACAGTTTTTGAACAGTTGAAAGAGTCGTCAAAATTGACCAAAATGATAAGGGGTAAGGCTTACCATTTTGGTCAAAATTGACGACTTTTTCAATACTCCAAAAACCAACCAAATATGATCTAAAATGAAAGATATTAGTCCTAGGAAGCCATTCTTAGCATTTTAAGACAGTTTATGAACCGCTCAAAAACTCGTCAAAATTGACGAAAATCGTAAGGGGTAAGCCTTACCATTTTGGTCAATTTTGACCACTTTTTCATTGTTCCAAAAACCAACAAAATATGCTCTAAAATGAAGGATATTAGTCTCAGGAAGCCATTTTTAGCATTTTAAGACAGTTTTTGAACAGTTCCAAAAGTCGTCAAAATTGACCAAAATGGCAAAGGGTAAGCCAGTTACCATTTTGGTCAAAATTGACGACTTTTTCAATGTTCGAAAAACAAACCAAATATGCTTAAAAATCAAAGAGATTAATCTTAGGAAGCCATTTTTTGTATGTTAACACAGTTTTGGAAAATTTTGAAAAGTGGTCAATTTTGGCAAAATGGTAAGGGGTAAGCTATTTTGGTAAAATTGACGACTTTTTTAATGTTCTAAAAACAAACCAAATATGCTCAAAATCAACGAGATTAGTCTTAGTGAATATTTGAAGCCATTTTCTGCATGTTAAACACATTTTTCAAAAATTTTCTAAAGTCGTTAATTTTGGCCAATATGGTAAGGGTAGCCCTTATCCCTTGTGGCCAAAATTGACAACATCTTCAATGTTCTTAAAAAACCCAACTATGTTCAAAAACCCAAAGAAATCAGTCTTACTGAATATTTGAAGCCGTTAAATTTGGCCAAAATTGAAAAGCTTTGTTCGATGCTCCCAAAACAAACTAATTATGCTCAAAAACCAAAGTGATTAGTGCTTTGCCCGTCTCATATGAACAGGCTCTAATAGGAAAAATTAAACTGACTGTAGTTAAATAAAAAAAATTTAACTTGTATCAGGAAATAACTTTACAATATTATTTATATATAAATTATCATAACTATACTAAAATACTGACTAAAATATATTATTTTGATAAATATAATTAACAATATATTAATGATTCATACTTTAGATATTCTATTCGTCTTATATAGAGCAAGCACAACAACCTTAATTGTTCCTATATGATTCGGAGAAGACATGAAAAAACTCTGGGAACAATAAGGATAAAATGAACATGGCATAACCCTATCTTGGTTATGCAGTAATTACACAAATCACACATCATAAAAAAGACAGTACAAATGTCTGGGCAAGTTGAACCTAACAATAATTTCATCTTTCTTGGCATTTTGGTACCATGAATTTGAACTTTTTAATGTTTGATCACGCGAGTTCATAATATTTATGTGTCTTTGGATCGAAGTAACAGTTCAAACATGGATCGTACAATAAATCTAATTCCTCTTCACTTTCTTGGTGGTTCACGCCATGGTATTTGGTCGGAGATTTCATTGATGACAAGTTGGAAATTACTGAAAGATATTGGACGGTTTTCAGCGGTTATTGTCACAGCACATCGCACTAGCATAATTAAGGGAGTTGCTTTTCTTTTCTCAAAAGCAACTATAAAGTAATTTTAGCAAATTCTCACCGCTGTTGTTTTCCTTATTCGGAGTTCCAAGAATGATCGGTGGGCTAAACACATCACAATCATCACGTGGATCTATGCATATAGTGGCCGTGAGATCGGGTTCTTGGCCTGGAGGCTGAGGAGAGATATAGAATACTTTACGTCAATGCACAGGGGATAATTTATATTGTATTTCACATACTCGCTATCACCAACATACAGTATATAAACGTATTTCTTTACCTTCATTTCATTTTGATATTTGTTTCCTCTCAAATCTCGGGGTGGTGGCGCCCCCCACGTGCTGTATGTCGTGTCATCACTACAGTCTGAATGACCATCCTCGTCATTATCATCAACCATAGGGATATCGGCAAATGCCGAAATATGCCGAGTTACAATCGGGAAGGTATCGTCGTTTAGCGAGTCTTCGAGATTTTGTTGAGTATGATTGAAACTGTTACTGCTATCTGACGTGTCAAATCTCCACGAGCTGGCCGTTGATTGGTCAAGAGTGTCAAGATGATTTGCTGATTGGTAGTTCTGTGCGTCGTAGCCGTTTTCTTTAACTGGCGAAGGAATCTATTTTTCAAAAACGTAAAGTGGAAGATTTTCTCCTCACGCAAGTTGATACCGGTAAAAAAAAATTAATTGCAGAATCATTGCAAAATCAGGCTAGTCGAAATCTTCTCTTACCTCCTTCAGCATACTACTTCGAATACTCTGCCTTAGCTGATGATGGGAAGGCGTGGGGGAATGACGGGGGCTCAAACTAGACTGGAGAAGCTTCTGGATTCCATCACCTTCCTCCTCAATATCATCATCTAGAACCACCAAAACAAAATTTTGTCAAACCATAGAGTAGGTAGTTGGTTATTGATACTATTGGTAATTCACCACAGATCTTATCAGATCAACGCTTTCTACAGCTGCACCGCCTACACGTCAATAATATGAGAGAGTTTTATTCTATACAGAATACCAACCTGACAGTTTACAGAAATCATCGTCCAGTGAAACTCCTCTACTTCTCTGAGTATGCCCACCATTTTTGACAGGAGGATCCTTTACCATTGTATCTTCAGACAAACTTACTATAACCTCCGGTGCAGCCTCAGCACTAGGAGTAACGACATTTTCGACCATAGGGGAGTCCAATAGTTTTCTCTTGCTAGACCGCGGTGAACGGGGCGTGGAAGCGAATGTGAATACAGGGTTATTACTGGCCAGCGGTAACTTGTGTGGTCTTGAGCGCGGTTGCTCCCTATCCCTGTCTGGTAATTCGTCATTGTTATTCATATCGATGTTTCTGTTCGGGGCGACATTATTTGATGATGATTTATTTACAGATTTCCTTGATAAAGCACTGGAATTCGAGTTATTCATATTACTATAATATAGTTCTGTGACATGCTCGTCACTCGAGTTACCATTTTCTTGTTGTATTTGCTGAATTTTCCCATATTCATTTTCGGAATGACCAAAATTTTGCGATTTGCCAGAAATATGGTCTACATCGTGATTTTCAGTAAGTCCACTGCCATTCGTTTTTAATGGTTCCTGTCTTGAAGCATCCGTATTGGAGCCACTAGACGCAACCAGATTACCTTCAATAATTTCATTTGCCGGTCTTTGGATTGTCGTCGGTTTTTCCATATTTGTAATACAACTTTGACTCGATCTCTCTCCATTTATGTTCATCGTTTTAAGTTTGTCTTCGAAGTTGCAATTTACGGCATCATTTCCTTCAAAAGAGGTCTTCACTGTCGTCCCAGGTGTACTTTCCGTCTGTACTCCGTCGATGTTCCCCTGCGACACAGAACCTTTTTCTGTCTCGAAAGTATACCGACTTTTAGAAACTGAAGGTTTCCCGGCCTTGTCTATAGCAGTATCTGCATTTTCCAAATGTTCCAGATTGAGTACCTCCGATGTCGCTGCAGAAGTTTCAGGTTCCTTATCTTTCACCTTCTCAGTCTTACCAATGGTTCTTACTTTTCCGGCACTGGATGGTTTTAGTCTAATAGGTCGTCTGATTTTTCCTGCGGAGCTAGTTCTTGGGGGTCTGGGTTGCATAATAGCCTGGTCAGCATCAATACTGGTTGGACCAGAATCACTGGATTCTGTTTTGCTCTCTCGGCTTCCTTTGGGGGACAAAGGAGACTTAATTGAATCGTCGTATTGCACACCTGGGGCAGATTGTCCATGTCTTTTTCTTGATGAAGAGAGACGTGAATTGTTGGAAGAGACTTTATTAGATTCGTGGTGTTCTTTCACAGAGTTCTTACGCGCATGATCGGGTATAACAATCTTTGTGCCAAACGCAATATGAGTTTCTTTGTCGGGAGTCGATGGTGTTGTTATTGGTGTTGTTATTGGTGTGGTCGGATTTTCGTTAGGTTTAGAATGCAGTTTACCATATGAGAGGATCTAGATTGCATGAAATATATACAATAGAATATTACAAAGGGAAATATATAACTACATTTTCTGAACGACTTTCCTTCAAATGATTTCCCTTAAAGTTACAGTACACACTAACTTCAAAAACATACAGTGGCATAGCCACTCTGATGATTTTGTCCCTCTATGTAAATTTCAAGTTATTATAAATTATAATTTTTCTTCTTTAGAAATTTATTGTTTTCACAGTCATTATGAACACCAAAATATTGGCATAGCAGGACAAATTGTCAGGCTGGCTACCCTACTGAAAACATAAGCAGAGATCTGAATTACCTCCTGAAAAGGTTAAGTCTGTACTAACCTGTGTAATGACAGATACATTAGTAGTTATCAACTGTAGATTTCTTGGCAAAGGTTCAGAATCAGCATATGACACCTCATTATTTTGACCATATGTTGTATCTTTTGGAGGTGATCTTAATGTGAACACTTTTTTCAATCTGCAGTTTGCAGTCACAGTGAAGCTTTCTATCGCCCGAAATTTGGGTCCATTGAATGTTTCGCTGACTAGTGAATCAAGATCCAAACACATGTTGAGCCATGAACCGAGGTTGAGAACAGCCAATGGGAATTTTGCATGCAAAGGGGTCACAGATATGTCTCTTAGATTTGAAGAGAAAAATATGCGGTGTTTGTTTTGAGCATGGTCAGTGACTGCAACCTCAAATGAAAATGGCCGACCAACAGGGAGAAATAACTGGAACACCAAGTATTTTTGGGTTAAAAATAATCCATGTTTATCTTCTTTGGGAAATTGTATCTTAGTAGTTGTTGGTTCACCCTCTAAAACATAAACATAGCTTTTGATATCTTTGTCATATTCTTTGTGTATATTGGTTGAACTACCAGTCACTTTACACTTCTTTGATAGCGGATCCCGTCCTTGTGCACTGAACACGTCCACAAAAGGTCCACCCTAAAGATAGGAAACTCCTATTTACACCTGGTATTTTAGACACATTTTTTCTCTTTAATACATGTAAATGAGTCACAAGTGGCACAACTATAGAATATCCTTACGAAATACATTGTTTAGTGCTAGAATAACTTATTATTTGTGGGTCTAAGACGTGGTATATTTTCTCTCATATTTATATATACGTGGATTGTAATATAGTGCAAAGCTGTGGGTTTATTTAACTGAAACGAGCTGCTTTAATACATGGCGGGGTTTCTAATAAAAATTCATAGCATAACAATTTGCTCATTTGCATCTATCAAAAGACGATATTTGTGGGAAAACTTACAAGACATGTAAAGAGGTTACTATTTATATGTATATATTTGATAAGGGTCTTTACTGGAATTCACTACAACTTGGTATAGCGAGTGTTGCAGGTTTGTTCAAATATCAATTATTTAAACAAGTCTGTCAGATGGCAAAATTTAATGCCTAGCAACGTCAACGTTTTAACAATGAACCGCGATGTATTTCAGATCTAAACATGAATAAACTACGAATCCAATTTGATATTATAATATGAACGACAATGTAACGATATTTTCCATAAAACGCGACAATATATAAAATAAAATACACAAATAAAACGCTACACTCTAACGTTTTTATACAGTATTTATATAGATGGAGTCGCAATCAACCAAGTATAAGAAATAATTCGTCACCTGGTATTCGCCTTTAAACATTACTGAATTCAACACGAGAAATCAAATATTTCGTATCTTAGCAGTCAGAAAATCCATTAAAATGTCCTTTATCTTCATGTTGTAAAAAACCGCAAAGAATTTTAACGAATTTTATATTTTCCGTTGGCAAACAAACGTCAGTTCTTATCTTCACAATTATAGCGGGGTTTTGTTCCCGGGTGAAAATCTTATTTATACGAATTCTGCACCAGGGAAATGTACCGGTCACAGAACCGACTCGTTAATTAACGTACACAGATCAATGGTTACGTAATGTAATTTCGCTTTTTTAAAACGTTTTCGCTCTCGCTTTACCCAATCTTCTAAAAGGGTTGACTGATTTATAGATTAGATATGAACAATGCATAAAGTTTCTTTAAGAGTAAAGACTTATAGTAAAGAGCAGTAAGGCAGTTACGAGCTACGCAAAGACGAGGCTAGTCAGATTTTCTAGATTTCAAAATTTCTCACTTTTTTGCCAGAACAAAAACGATTTTTTTTCATTCTATACCGGAGAGTACGAGTCTAGGTGACGTTTGCTGTTTTTTCACATCCATGGCCATGGATATCTCTCACCATAATCTAGTCATCTAGAATAAACGTATTTCGCAGCATTATGTAAACTTTATTATTTTTCATTCTAGTGTTGGTAAGGAACAACTAAACAAGGAGCTGTACATCACGGGTACTTGTATAGCCTGATGCAATCACACTATACTTTGGCCCATAAGGAAAACACCGTGATAACACAGCCTTACACATTCGTATTTTTTTGAACTGTGTCAAATTTGTACCTTAAGAATGAGTATTGGTGGCAGGCACACCGTTAAACCTCAGTACAAAAATCAAGACGATGCCAGCTAGTGGTGACATATATAAAACCATCATGTAAATAGACTAATCTTTCAAAACAGCACAGTTAAGCCTCGAGTTAAGCTGCAACGTTGCTGCAACGTAATAAACGTGAAAGTTGATGGAATGCTACGCATTATATATTTCAAGTCACTAGTTAATCGGTAGTGCATAATGAATTATAACAATTAAACGTTTTCAAGGTATGCAATTGTTATTTCTATTTAATCAGGGTTAATATATATATATATATGGTTCAGACGACTTAAGAGTTGGCATTGCAATACCTAATCAGTTTCCGATTATCTTTCTCGAGTATTTTGCATTTCAATCATTGCCTGTATGTTGCTAATGTATTAACTGTATTCATATTGATAATATCCGAACTCGATCAGTTCTATTAGGTGTAACCGTGTAAAAGCAAATTCATTCATAGTAAGTTTTAAGTTCAAGAAATGCTTGATTTTCTTTTGTTCGTGCAGGAGATCGATTGCAAAAGTTAGTTTTCCCGATCTGCCAGGTTCGTACGTGCGTAGCAGCTGTTTAACCAAAACATCTAAAAAATTAAGAACGATATCAAGACTGCAAAACTTCCCAAAGGTATAAAGAGAATATAGATATATAGAACTCTGGTACAAATTTGAGATATGTATCTCCACTCATTATATGACGATATAGAGTTATAGGTACATAATTAAAATTTTTAAGAACAACTTCACTTGTGTTTTCACTGTTAAATATATATCTATATAATCTTGGTCTTAACGGGCGCCCACTCTTACGACAATAGTGATTGGTTGAAATTCTGGAAAGCGAGCCTGCCGAGCCGAGGCTTCAGGGAAATGATGTAATAATCAACTAACATGAGCCAATAATTTTTGTGCAAATCAAAAGACCGCACTTCATACATGATTAATCTTCTTTTCATTAATTGCTTTTTCTTTCGGCATATCGATCACCATTTCACATAGCACCAAATTAGACCAGTATTACAGCGTGAGTAAAAAACCTTCTTGTACAATGTATATGTTATATTCATGCCCATGTTATAAGTTTACATCGCAGCAATATAATTTTCATAAACATTTTCATTCCTCTACCTTTAATTTGGAAGTGACGGTATATTCATTGATTCTGATACCACATTCTTTAAAACGACTTCAAGAATTTCACTCTTCGTCTCCAGTTCGAGCATACGTGCGGTTAAAATATTCTGCAATAATATTGCATGATGCATGTTCTTAATCTTATACCGACAGTGAAACGACAAAGATACTACATGTTAAGACGCGTGCATGCACATGCACAGAAACATTTTCGTGCGAAACGGATGCATAATTATAATGCAAGGTACTGAAAATATTCTCTCCGTGTTAACCTAGGAGTCAAAACGCGCTGAGGAGTTGCCACGCGAAAAGTTTTTACACTATGCCTATACATACCTAATCATCCGTTATCATATAAAATCACTTACAGTTAAATTTGAGAGCTCCTGTATTGCTCCCAGCGACTCCATTAACAATCTATCCTGAAAAGGAAAATCAAGGCAAAACAATAATTTATTTGCATGTTGCTTAGTATTACAGAGTGAAGGTGGATGAGTACAATACCATCAAAGTGATTGATTTTTTCACTTTACTTAACTATAAGTATTTCTATAGCTACTTTAGATACAGGCATGCAGCTAGCTATTAATACCGCCGTCTCCACCGGAGATGCTCTTTTCAAGTGTACCTTGTTAATCATGAAAACATCTTTCACTAACTTTCCTTCTGGTAATACAATATCTGCCTAGGAATGAAATTTAACAAAGGATTTGATTGGGAATTTTTGCTTTATCATATATATATGCAATGATAAGATTGGATGGCTGCTTCATCACACCAACTTAGCTACCATATACCAATGGACCACTAGTCATGCATGACTCTGCTACCACACCAATGGACCACTAGACATGCATGCATATAAATAAATTTCCATAACGGGAAAAAACCGAACGCTGGGTTAAAAACCCCATATTGGCTATAACCTTTCCTTGTAGGGGTATGACTTAATGACTACACAGTATGTCTCTCTCGTATAGTAATGGCACTATAAATGTACGATCTTTTTTTATCCACTTACTCCTTCAGTAACAGCATCAGGAATCAAGGTTTTAAGTTCATTTCCTAACACTCCAAGATCTTCTGTTGGTCTTTCAACAGATAGTCCAGCATAATTCAAATATTGTTTATTATGACAGTATCTGTATAGTTTCATATTGGTAACGTTCTCCAAGTTTTCGCGAGTGTTCGCCTGTAAAGTTAATTATAATTTTCTTTTATTTTATCATCATCATCATCTCACCTAACATTTTCTATTTTTTCACCCGTTATATTCTTGTACTGATAGACACCTTTTCGAGGTGGGTAATCACAAATATAGGCTACATACAAAAACGTGCAATATTCAATTTAGGACGTTTTCCAAATATACTCCATTTACTAAGCTGACTTATATATATATATATATATATATATATATATATATATATATATATATATATATATATATATATATATATATATATATATATATATATATATATATATATATAGGCATGTTTAGCAAAATCACACTTTCAGTCTGAATTCAATATTCGATACTATGGACTATATAGGATAAGTCTATATCTCAGGGTGGCGACATAAAATGCATCCATAGGCAGACGAAACGGTACAGTTGAAGTACTCAACGACGACTCACGCCGATTCCTATATAAAATGTGCATTGTGCATCTGCTAATTATTAAACATCATTGTCACCTTACCTGGTATATGCGGTCCGTAAATCTAATATCTGCAGGAGTCATAATCTGTCCAGTGAGTTTTATGTTTCCATTCACTGCTAAGCATTGGTCCGGTTTGTCATTGTTGATACCAACATGTCCCTGCAAAACACAGCGGTATCCGCGCACAAAATGTTATTTAGATGGGTTCTAAACTTCTTATGATGCAAAATATGTACAATTGTATTACCATTCTATAAACACACTCCCCACTTCTGTCTTTTGACCACAGTGCAACATCGTTTTCAAATTGTCCGGGATTTGAGGCCTAAAATATTGAAAGCCCCCAGTATACTTCACAATACGGCTCCGCAGATCTTTTAAGCATAGGCTTGTCTAGGGTAGAGGGTGCTTCCTTCCTGAGAAGATTAGCTACATTCACATAATTAGTCAGCCTAGCGCTTTATCTGTATTTGCTGCCCCCCCCCCTCTTGACAATATCATACAGAGTGCACTCCCTGATGGATCGGATTATCTGGTTTGTATTTACTTACTCTGACAATTACTTTATCAGATACTTGACAACAAATTGAATAATTTCCTTGTTTGGTATAGGCACGTATATCAACAACCAGCTGAAAATATCTAAAAAAATGAAGATATGACTACCGTTTTTATTTCATACACAAACAATACCTTTCTTTCAAATGCACCATGCATGGGAGACAGGGGATTCGGAAGAATACCTTTGATCAGGATTAAGTTTTCCCTTCTTCCTCATGTTGTTTGACGTCGTTTCACTGTGATAAAAATATATTTAGAATGATAGAGCTGTAAGGTGGATGATAATTATCTAATTATATTAGCCGATAAACGCGTACAGTTCGAAGCAAATGTTCATCAGTTTAATTATTTTATGTGTACGCGAGGCTTGTATTTAGGTATGGTAAGTTGCTACTGAAATTCAAAGAAATCTGACTGCACTGACGGACCCAAAAATATATGTACGCCATTTCACATTTACCTAAAATGCAACCTTCCAATAGTCAGACTTTTTGTACCACACGATCCCCCGGGAAATCTATGGGAAGGAATAAACATATATATGGATGTCATATGCAGATAATAAAGATTATAACTTTAAATACATGAATTTAAATAACTGCACCAGTATATAGTTAAGTTAAACTTTTTCTTGTCACTTTATAATATGTTAAAATATATTTTTTTCTTTATTGTTGCATGATACGTTAAATGCGGTGGGAGAAATGTAGGCGATGTCATAAAAAGCATTTTCAGATGATTTTTTTTTTAGATTGTCGGCTGGTATTGGTTTTAAAATGCAGACGAAATACGTTTTGCAATAAAGAGTTGAGAGGTTATTAGTTTTGGGGTCGTCAAAATATACCCAGCGTATCAGACAAAATAATAGGCTAAAAGCTATGATGAAGGTCATTTTGAAAAGATCAAAACTATAAGTCTATCGGAATCGATAATTGGTGAGCTATTCACTGCATATATATAGGTGTACCTACTTCGTCTTTTTCAATTTTTAGAACAGAATAATAGTATAGTTACCTCACTGGTGTGTATGGCCGTTTTGTCCTGTCAGCTGTTGACTGTTCCATTGTGATCTTCTTTTGAGCGGATTCTGCCTGCAAACATTGTAAATTAACGATGTTTGGTGAGGAAACAAAAATTTTCTTTAACAACCCATCTAGATTAATTATAAAGCGGACCTAATCAGTCGTATTTAACCGGAACTTAATTCCCCCATGCTCATTACAATTGTGCATTCCCATTGAATGGCGATGCTCTTGTGTTTTGAAGCTCTTGCATGTGCATGATTTCTTTATGATTTGACCCACCTTGATAGCATAAAGGTGCACTTTGTAGCAAATGACAGGTTGATAAGCATTCTGTAATAAAAGTGAATATAAGGTGACAATATATGCAAAGGCACTTTATGTTAAGATAAAATACAGTTAGAAAGTTTTATTGTATGTATATGGCTAATACCAATCTTATATAGATGCAAAAGTAAAAATCTTATGACGGAAGGTCCTGATGAAAAAATGATAGGTCAACGAGCACAACTTTAATTCAGTTGCAGCGTTTTTACAGACTTAGTCATATCATTTCAGTTATTGAATTGCGTAACATTTGGTCCACTTTAATAAAACCTCGATGCACAATGCACATTATATGGAGCCAAATGAATTTCATACAAATTCTATTATCGGATCAGTATACATGCACCAACAAACTGACTAACCACTGGAAAAGCATACCTCAACTTGAACTACCGTTTGACTATCAGCAGATATTTCCAGATTTAATGAAATCTAAAAATGGTTTGATTTTTAGAAAGAAAACGACGGTAAGCTAAGATATAATAAGGAGTAAAAAGGTGAAATTATAATCTGGTATATTGCCCATAGCCTAGGGAGGCGTCATGAAGGAAAGGTCGTTTATGGCTGAAAATGTTTCTTTTTCTGGTATTTGAGCCAGGAAATGAATCATTTTGAACTGTATTCTACCGAAATCATTGTTATATGAAATGATGAGGGCGTAAAAAATTGCAGGAATATATATAGTCACCTGAAAATGGTTCTTTTTCTGGCAGATAAAAACGCTTTCTGCCATTGAAAATGTTAATCCTTTATCACAAGTAACAACAAGGGTTGGTATTTTTCTATAAATTGACAAAAAATCATGAAAGAAATCAGCTTAATCCATCGAGGACACTTCAAGAGGAATGAAGTCTACGTGTTTAGATTTCACTTACGGTGCAGTAAGAGATGAAGTGAAAAGCTTGTAACATTCTTTAGTTCTATAATCACTCCATTTTATTGTCTTTTGTGAAGTCGAGGACTCTCCATAATCAGTAACTATAGAGAGACGGAAATACCTTAGGTTTTACTTAGGGAGTTATAAGGGGCGAGGCGGGAAAAATGCCTTTTCAATTTAAATGATTTCTCCACAGTATTATCATTGTCTGCAGTTTTTGTACTATTCCGTGACTGGAAACGAAGTCAATGAATCTCAGGAACAGAGAAAGTGTTATTTAGCGTCAGCGAAACATTCCAAAATCTGCGCTTTAGTGGCGACGTCGTTGTGATTATGTTCCTATAGTTCTACTTTTTGAGGTATACTTCACTAAAAAATTTATAGCATGCATAGAAAAAAATATTTTAGAACGAAAGCCTTTTTACATTTGTACTGTTCATGTATTTTAGTTTTCTTCACGTTTGTTTCTGCTTTCTCATTTAGCCACTGGCATTTCCGCTTTATCTCTTTCCCTTGTAGAGGACTGAAATTAAAAAAAAAAATTACTTCAAGTTGCGAACATTATTAGTTTTCAATTATTAGTTGAATAAAGAAATTATATTTTTCACCAGCATGCAAGCCTACGCTGCTGCATCGGAAACGCTGATCGTGATTACGATAATCAGTGGCGTAACTAGAACGATAATTGGGGGGGGGGATTGAATATTCATATGATTATCCAGTCTGCCCTACGGATTTCTTTTGTAAGTGCAATAGCTCACAAAAGAAATCCGTGGGGCAGAACTGAATATATGAATATTCACCCTTCCCTTCAATTATTTCTCTAGATACGCCCCTGACGATAATTCCAGAAGTTTAATTCCATATTTATATATAGTATCTATTATTCCATACGACGTGCAGTTGGCCAATTTGTCGGCCGGCAAATCACTTTATACTTATACTTTACTTGGTTTGTCTCAGATAATGTTCCAACTCTGGTGCATCTGTGAGAAAATTCTGTCTAAATTCTAGAAAAACACAATAAATAATCACATTCGAAAACGCTGTAACATTTTTGCAATCCTATATAAAGTCGACTATATAGCTCACATGATAGCCACTAACTATTGAAGCCTATGGTGCAGTCGGCATGTTAGTAATAAGTAAAATATTTTGCAATTCAGTCTCATTTCTGATATTTTTTCTTTTAATGAGAACCAGTAATGTATCCGCGAAAGAACTATAGGTTGACGTGATATCATGGAAAAGCCTGAACCTGAAAAGCCTGTGTTTCAGTCTACATATGCCTGATGCATGGCGTTTTTTAAAAAAAATTCTGGTTTTTCTGCTGCTGCAGCAGAATCAGGATCTGGATCAAAGAACATCTGAATCGCCAAACTATGCCAAGCTTATAATAAACACTTAATTGTTTCGGCGTGCGGAGTTTCCTGTCGAAGAATGCATTCGAATGTTGTTACTTACTGTACTATAGCCTATGCATATAACCAAAACATGTTGGACGAAATTTTATTACAGCAGACCAGGTTATGAGCGCTCTGCATTAGTCTCAGTGGATCACAGTGAACCGACCAAGCTGAATAATAAATTCATAGTATCCTACCTGGCTGTTTTACTGCTTCATTTGGGGTCGGTGTTACTGGACAGGAATTTGGTGGACTAATTGGCAAAATAGGTTGGGTTAAAGTGGGCCTGCAAAAAATGGGAAAAATTGTTACTTAGGAGTAATCTGAATGCATACGTACACGTAAGATTAGAAATACCCATCTCCTCCTATTGCATGGATACCATCTGTTGAGTGCATTGCATGTTTATTGTTGAGGATAAGCCGTACTAAGGAAATTATCAGATCTAAATTCTTACATTTAAGGGAGATGCAGAACCAGCATAAATAAGCTTCCGGCTAACATGAACACGTATATATCACGCGAGTAACCTACGGCCTATATACAGAATGAAACACTGCATGCACGTACGTTTCTAAGCCAGCGTTGTTATTGATAAAGCCCTGCGATTGTGACCAATCTTGGTGTTCATCGCATCCTATTTCTCCTTCTAAGAAAAAAAAGATATAGAATCAGTAGAGTTCTGGATATGCCTTGAGCCTCCCCTGACCTTGGACTTGGTTCATTTTCTCAACCTATACGTCCAATCTGTAACAACTGAGATTACATAATTACATAATTAGATAATACATTACATTTAATCAAAGAAGAAAGACAGTATAGTAATAAATTGTTATTTTATCCTGTATATGAACTTTTATCATCAATGTATAGTTAAATTGCCTGCATGATTTCTACGGCGATGGGGTGTCAATATATCTCTAACAAAACATGGCCAAAATGTGCACCAGTAGTTATGCAGTATTGTTTAATACCTTCCTCTGCATGATTTAGAAAATCTAAGTCAATTCCTTCAAAGTAAAAGTCCATTTCTATGTACGGTACCGTCAATGTTCCGAAATATATACCGTTGCCGAAAAACTTCTTACTTGATCATAAATATGGTGCAAGAGTACGCGGAAAGTCAGTATACAGATTACAAACTCATCTGTCGACATCGTAATGAGTGGACGTTTATAGTTACTCCTTGTTCTGGCATTATCATAATCTTGGTGGCATTGGAACTTGGAAAATATAGTTGTTATCCAAATGTAGTTGTTATCCCCTCAAACTAGTCGTAGTAGTCCTTCAAGCATAAGTTCGTGGCTAAAAGGGATGGACTTGGAGGAGACGTTTTCAAGATAGCTGCCAATTCTGAAGATCGTTATGACATGGGGTTATCAACAACTAACTGTACTTCAGCAACGCCAGACATTTATCCCCACAGCCCAGCTATCCTTGAATCAATTAACGTGCATCAACCCTAACGCATGCATGCAAATGTTTTTCTTCTTAATCGAGGAATGTTAAATTTAAAAGATATAAAGTCCAATTATTATGACCCAGTCACGTGTCTTTGACGACAGCTAATGAGAAGTTTGCGCATTGGGGCAGGAATGGAAGCAAAAAAACTGATGGCTAAAAACTAAACCTTTTTTTTTAATCTACGCTTTGGAGCAGATTTTAAAGAAACTAAACTTTGATGTTTGGATGCAGGTACTCAGAACGTGTTTAACACGTGATCACGTGTAAAAAGTTGACAATCCACTAATTTTTCACATGAGATTAAAACGGCACAACAAAAGTTTATTTTATACTTTCTCTTATTGAAGGTCTTTTCAAACTAATCCTTCAAATATAGATTCGTTCAGATATTATCGTATCGTATCAGATAGTATCCGCGGTTAAGGAAAGTCTTCAAAGTCAAAAAGGGCTTTGAACTAAAAAAAATACAGTTGCTCTAGTATATTCGTGAGGCGACAAGGTTTTTGTAACATGTAAAAGTCACAGAGTTTGGACTCAGTTTCACTTATTTTTTGTGCATTAAAGTTTTTCTTCTCGATCCTAGTCCCTTGAACGTACTTTTAAACATGATCTAGCTTGTCTAATGTCAGCATATTTTTTACGTACATTAAAATCAATATTAGGTCTTGGACATTAAGGGCTGCTTTCCACTGTCGCGTTTTTCATACGCACGTAAAAGTCTGAATCCATAATATAGGACATATTTGAAAAGGCTGGGTGAATAAATCGAAAGAGTTTTCCACATATTTTAGCATACATTTGTTGACCCATGTGTCAAATACAAAAATTTGGAAGCATTTAAATTTTTCCGTGCGGAAAAACAGTGGAAAGCAACCCTAAGTAGGAAACCGAATTAGAATATGCTGCATGTTTCTTAATTTGAATGTTTTTGAATATAAAAATATTACTTGCCGGTGAATGATTACAGAAGAGGTCGTTGAAAAAAATACCTCCCGCACAACGATACTTCAGATATCGCCCAGGGCTGTATAGCTGAGTCAAAAGTTTGTTGTTAATGCATTAATTTTACTTCAAGCGTGCACTTTTTCATTTTTTTTTCGTTTCACCTGTACTATTCAAAATGTGTCTCTATTAGCATTAGAGTTTCTTCCCACGTGACCATCTTATCTCACGTTCGTTATGATAAAGTTTTGCTGCATATTGAAAACTGAAAAATTGAGAATTTTGAGTCTATATACATGCAGCTGCTGTGTTTCACAGCTATTGCATGTGTGCTAGACGACATTGACTCTACCTCAAACATTGGATAACGAGGAGTTTTAGGTATGGTCACGGTTAAATGTATTGCGATATAGGAGCTGCACTATAGTGAAGTTAGACTTGTGTATTTTAGATTATAGCTAAAACATTAAAAATTAGTTATTCACAGAAAACACCGATATATTTGTTATTTTTCTCTATATAACTGATTGTTGGGTTTTGATGTGCCAGTATACTAGTTGTCAATGTAATAACAATTTACACCTGCAACAGCTCTCCTGGCTTAGTTCTTACCTTCTTGAAGATTAACAAATCCCGTGTAAAAATTCAAGTTGATTGATCCAATGTCAAACGCCATTACTTATAAATTATATATGCATCACTCGTTCGGTCATGCACAGTTTGTAATCAGCCCAAACCTCACTAAACCTTTATTTCGGTGGTTTACTTTCAGGCAAGTTTTGTACGTCATCTCGAGACATAACATCGAAATACATCGGTCAGTTTAAAAAATATACGTCGTTCAACGCGACTTGTTTTTGTCTACATTTCATTTCACTTTATTTTTTTATGTCGGCGGCAGCAGTTCGTCAGTTCATTAAGGTTGCTTGGGACAATAAATAAGTGGCGTAGCCAACCTGACAATTTAGCCCTGCTATGCAAATTTTATGTTATCATTATTCATTTCTTTAGCAATTCATTGTTTTCAGTCAAAGAACACCGAAATTTTAGCATAGCAGGACAAAATTGTCGGGCTGGCTATATGCCACTGCATGAAATTAATCGACTGGGGTTTGACAATGTAATCAACAGAGTGGATGGTTAATACGAGGGGAATACGGCTTAGCCCGGCCTGAACTCGTCTTTTTTCGTGACTTATCTGGGCTTCTTCATACAGATGGCTAGATGCAGCAATGACGAGCAGTCTTAAAACCAGGGGGCGGTTGTATGAAAGCCGGATAGCGCTATCCACCGAATAATGGTTTTTTCAACCGTTCTAAAAATGCTTGAAAAGCAATAAAATTTCAACTTTGGAACCAACAATTATTAAAGAGGATCCTCAATTTAGGAATACTAAGATCTAATCAAAGTTATACCCAACAATTAAACGGGCGATTTTAAAGCAATTGAAAAAATCACTATCCGACCTCTCTACGATGCATGCATTTTAAGCAGACACATGCACATATATATGCTACGATTTCAGTCGCTGAGATCGGGCTTCAGTGCATTAGTGTCGACTAAGTCTAAGCCGCGTGTGTTTACTTGTATGGGCCCATAGATCAGGCCACTGATTGTACTTCACCAAAACATGTATTCAAATCACAATCACCCGGCTACTTGTAGAGCATAAATTTTGAGCAGCTTCTTTGTCATCAAATGTTCTCAAACAGTTATTCATTCATGCGTTTTCAATAGTAGAAAGTTGTCCTTTGCATGGTGGGGTTCGGCTTTGAAATTTGTTTGTTTTCACAACCATCGAATTTACTTTATTAAAAAAATGATTCTGCAATGGGTGTTCTTTTTTATTGAAATGTATCCGGGAAATGGGCTGTGATACTTTTTATTCGCTTGCTTATATAAAATTTGCTGCATTTTAAAACTTTTAAGTAAAAAGTATAATTTGCTAATAATGTTTGGGCTGCTGCCCGAGATTGATCTGATTGGCTATTCTGGTCACGTGGGCAAGTGCTGGATGTCCTAGACAACACATACCTTTTACGTTGCCTGTAGCTATATCTCCAAACCTTTTTCACTTTTTTTAAAGCTCACAAATGAGCACTTGCTGTTGGAAAACATGTAAGTGCATGGCCGCAATGTGTGACGGCTTTGATGAGTCGGGGCGTGGACAGGGCACAAGTGCATGCGCAGATTATGTATTTCACTTTTTGTATTTGATTTCATACACGACCGCGAATAAATGTGTGGCGACATGTATGTAAACACGATATAAGTTTTTTTTAACACGACTTTAAGACTTGTCTTATTCTGCAGGGAATAAATGTGATTGTCTAATATATTCTAATATATAGGATGTTTAATAACCGTTAAAGAAAACCCCTCACAAAAACGATTGCTGCAAAGACTTTTATTTCGATATACTCATTGCAAGAATTTGAAAATGAAAGCAATGTGGTAAATCCTCGATTCCGCTGAGCTCTCGTTATTTATTTGCGATAAATACATTCATTTTCATGAAAGTTTAAATCAATTTTTGAGATGTGTGGGGAGGGAGGGGTGCTGTGTAAAAGGAAGGGCCAAACCGAGGATTTACCTTCCAGCTTAGGTGCAATGTTGAAACATTTCAACTTCAACCATCATCACAGAAATGACTGTGCACTTAGCAGTCAATTTCTTTGGTCTTTTAGAAAGCAGCTTGTGTCTGTGACATTGACTAAACAAAAAAAGAAAGTTATGATTGGGCAAAGAATTAGAGATATTTCCTTAAAATTTTGTGAGTATTAGAATCTCCGGTGTGCAATTTACAGAAATGTTCATGACATATACGGAACTCTAGTCAAAGAAAAAGATGACAGTATAAGACGATATTTGCATAAGAGAGATGTCTGCATAAAGGATTTGCTGATATTTATGAGATGTCTGTGGAATTAGAAATGTGCCACAGTAGAGACTTCGATTCTCCAGAACATCGGCGCAATGGAGACATCCGTGTTAGACTATTAGAGACGTTCTTCTTAGGCGTATGATTGTAACAAAAATGTCAGTATTAGGCTTATACAGACGCCCGTATATACATATGCTACACAGCCCACATTGTACGGTGGGAAGACGTAGGGCGTGCATTTGCACTAAAGAGATGTTGGTTTTAGAGAGTTGTCTATCAAAGAGATACGAAGATATCTGTATTATGGAGAACTAGTATCACAAAATTGTATGTGAGGAGCTACAACTACTGTACAGTCAGAGTAGTAGCAATACCTTTCTGCTCTGCTCAACACAATTCACATAATCCCTAACTAGCTGGGAACATTTTAATGATGAGTTTTTATTTTCCAGATAACAGTCTACAACATGATGTTGCAATGATGTACAGACAGGCTCCACTTTTTTCTCACTAGAAAAAGAACCAGAATAACTTTGACTAATTCAGAATTTGGAGGTTTTTGAGATTTTCTGATGAGATATTTTATATAAAATTATTGAAAATTTGACCAGAGTTTAAGAGATGATCATGAGGCAAAAAACTCACCTATATTTGCCTTGCATTTCACTTATGGCATTATCAAATTCTTTCAAAACCTCTCGTTCAGCCTCAGCACTCTAACATGATTATTAAAACACTTTTTGAATTTGAAGAGCTTAGAAATGTTTGATAGGCTGCAGATTGTAGTTCAAAATATACCTTCTTAAGTTGTTCTTGCTGGTAAAATTGAGTTTTTTTTCTTATTTCATCAAACTCTCGTTCCTTATCTTCTAAAGTTTTGCGCAAGTTTTCATCAACAAATGATGGTGTATTTCTGTTCCCCTCATTTCTTCCCTAAGAAGTGTAATATATAAAAATATATCATATCTCATTAGCCAAAATTGTTGGGTATTTCTGTTGCTTGTATGGGAACCAGGCTGGGTTCATTTGTCAAGATTTAAGAAATTTACGTAATTCAGAAGAATTTGGTTAGCAGCCAATTTTAAACTCATGCCTATAGCCAACCACAATGTGTACCATATATTCTTTGTGTACATAGATGAAATGGAGATTTCTACTAGGCTCTCTACTAGGTTGGTCATTACCTGCTGAAAGGCATCTTGAAGAAGGTCATCAATTCTTTCCTGTTGCTCATCCAGTTCTCTTTTTTTCTCTACCAATTCATCATAAAGCTTCTTCACATCCTCTGTTCGTTTGTAAGATTAGAAAATATTGAGAAATGTATTGACATATATATGTATGCCACTAATAAAACACACATTTGCCAGCAAAACATGATTGAACCAGGCAGTGTACCTGCGGTGAAATTCTCCTGAGATTTTGCTGGCTTTTCTTTATCTTCATGCAGAAGAGATTCTGAAATCTAAATTTGAGTAGGAGGCCAAAAAATGCATTATAATGTGCTTAAACATTTCTACATTACTAACATTAGGTCTTTAGGGCCATATATATTGTAATTAAAAAACCTATAAAAATTATTGTTTTGGTGTGACCTTTCATACAATTCAGCATGACAAGAAAGGTTTTCCACACATGCCAGGTTCCACTATGACTATGTTATATATATATATATATATATATATTAATATATATATATATATATATATATATATATATATATATCGCAACAAATAGCAAGAATAAACCATAGTAGCTTCTATATTCTAGAACTTGTACTTCTGGAGAAGGACAATAAGGTATAGGAGGGCCCCAGGGCATAGCCAAGGTATAAAGATGTACAGTATTCTACTATAACTTAATATGCAAGAAATGGAATGATTGATATGACAGAAATCACAGAATATGTGCATGAAGTTATAAACTGTTTTTATGAAATACAGTTAAATACCTTAACGACCCCTATTGTATCATCATCTTCATTGTTTACAGTAACGCGTCTGGAAGACTGTTGAGCCCCCATTTCCAACAAACAGTAAATACAATAAAAAAATACCGCAAATTATTAAATACTTTTTACTTAATCAACCGCCATTTTGAGTCCGAGTGAGTCCGAGAACAATTTCCGGAATATTTTGGCGCGAATATTTGTTGACGAAATTCTCCATAGTGAATACTTTTACCAGCTTTTTACTGCAAAAATACTACGAAGCTGTAAAGTGTAAAAAGATATATGAAGTTTTAAATTAAATTCGTGTATATGTCCATGTGCTAAGTACATATACTGTTTGATAATCCTTGCAAGGTATATGTCGATTCGATTTTTATGATTTTTATACTATGTTCGAATTATTATTATTTAAATTTGTGTTTTCCTCGATTTAATTACCATGTGCTGTACAGCTTTACTATAAATTTGCCTATCTGCCCTATTTCTACCTTAGAGCATAAGGCTAAAAATTAATAAATGGACCTGACATCCTGGTTAAACACATATTCACCTCATAACACACTTTCAAACCTCTCGAAAAACTTCTACCCTTTCAACTACATGCACTTGCTATCATTGTATCCACTCATGCTGCTGCTCTTCAGGTAACGAGAAAGAAACAATGTGGAATTTAGTGCCAATTAAATAGTGTCTTGTGAAGGAACTGTTCACTTTTATTCACAGTGAAATCTGCAATCATTTACACACTTGCCCATTATAGTTGTTTTTTTTTTCAATACAGCAAATGTGGTAGTCTGTTAACATGGATCCATCTGAAGTAGATTTCCTAAGTGAAAAACGTCATGTCAAAATTTTGCCTAATTTTAAAGAAGGTAGAATCTTTCTCATCAGTGTAAGTTGAGTTCCAAGAAAAATATGTTCCTATAAAAGTTTATTTTAATACAACCCAACTGGTCTAATGCCCTAAGTGGTTATTTTTGTACTTCTCTAGGGTGATATTGGTCCATTTGAGCCAGGCTTATCAACCAGTGTCCCATTATGGATGGCTGTAAATTTGAAGCAAAGGAAAAAGTGTAGAATAATACCTCCAGACTGGATGAATACAGGTCTTTTTCAGTTTTCTTTGTCACAATTTTTTAAAATATTTTATGAATTTGAGACCTATATAAGTAATCTGCATCTTTTTCAATGCTTATTTCCGCTTATACATACATCCTTGAGAAATGTAGTAATAAGGTGGAAGGTGATATTTTCAGGAGAGAGGCTTTAATATAGCCAACAAAGTGATATTTACTAATTACTCTTTTCCTAACTGATTTACTAAGTACATTAGCATGAAATTTGCAACCTCATTTTTTAGATCAGTTAGAGCAGAGAAAAGATGATGAGAAAGAGCGAGAATATTTCACAGAAATGCCATCCAAGAGTTACTTAGAAGTTGCATCCTTATTGCTCAAAAGGTTTGTCAAAAATATTTCTCCAAAAAGGCATTGGTTAGAAAATGAACCAGCCAGGCTCTGGATGCTGAAATGATGTACTGGCTATAAATGAAACAACATACTGATGGTTACAATTTCTAGCGCAAGAGATGACATTCCCCATGCAGACGAAGTTCAGACGTTAATTAAAGATATCTGGGAAATCAGAATGGCAAAACTTAGAAAAAGTATCAATATTATGGTACAAGAAAAAGAAACTCATGCGAGGGTGAGTTATATATATATATATTTATTGGCTTTTCTGGTAAAAAAGTTAATCCTGACTTCCACAAACGACTTTTTGCTGTTTAATTTCTAGCTGGATAATTTGACTGAAATGGAAATTAACACGATACGTCCATTTCTCACGTCAGCGTTAGATCACATGCATCTGCTCCGTGTTAATGTCGCCTCGAACCCAAGGACTGGTGCTGATTATTAAGATCTTCAGTAAACACTCAACAGACTATAGATATTTAGAACCAAATTTGTCAATTAGTTACGAATTATTTCCTTTTGAATATTTAATGGAACATTTGCATTATCGACTACTTTTTATCTATATGCAAGAAAATGTAATTAAATCACCGGAACTAAAAAGAGTGGACTAGTAAAAATGCAAAGTTGGTTGTGAAATGTTGTGAAAAATTAATTTGTATACTTTTTTACTACGTACGGAAGTTGGTACCATTTTCGGTCTAGATGAGTGGATGTGTCATCGTTATGGTCAATTCTCCGGGATGTTCACAGGTCTCTGTTTCCATGTTTTCATCTCAATACCAGGAACACAAACAGACGTTGAACAACAGGGTGCTGAAAAATAATTAGGAACATATAGCCTGCGGTTTTTCAGCGCATTTCAGCAAGCTCTCTCTCAAGTGCGGGCCTCTCTAAATTATACGTACAAAACACGAAGTCAGAAGACGATGCAGTGATCGAGCATCGTTCATGGGGGCCACACCCAGGCATTGAATTTTTATGGACCTTGAAGTTTTAAAATGGCGTAACATGTTTAGTTTGGATCTTTTTGTTTTCAATATACAGCGCGTTGCGCCATTTTTAATGCATCCATGCATGATCTCAATTTTTAAGCAGAAACAAGCAAAACACCAATACAATGAATACATTAATTGCTACATTGTATCTTCCTTCATACCTTTCGTTTTCAGAATTTTCTTAGGTCTTAAAAGTTGCTTAACATGGGTCCAGCGTTTGATATATTCCTCCCGGCAATCGATTCGAAAGATAAATGTTACTGCAGGATTGAGCAAAAGAGGAATTAACGTAACACCAAACAAGACGGCCTTTGCTTCTTCCCCAAGATGGTGTTCAGAACAAAATGTTGTCAACGACATTGCAATCTAAAAAATGTTACAAAAAATAGTCCTATTTAAAAAAAGAGCAAGAAGAGGTCTATGGCTAGGTACTCTCGAGGCTAGTCAGATTTTTTTCCCGAATTTCAAAATGTTCATTTTCATTTTTTCGCTAGACCTGTAACAAGCTACAAAAAAGTTTCTTTGGAATAGGTCTATATGCATGATGTAGCTAAAAATAATTAAGTGCAATTTTATACCACGAAAATGCTTTATTGCTTTATGTTCGGCAAAGATGACCCAAGAAAGGCAAGAATGAAGATGGTGTATGATTGTTTTTAACCAATTTTTAAATGTAAAATATTAATATTGAATTATTATATACACATATACATATTCATTTGAAACAAATTGCATGACTTAAAATTCACATTCAAAAGAGTCAAAGAGCATCTCTCTTCTAGCCTCGTACCTAGGCGCTTTGATAGTAAAATATATAACGTTGTATTCAGTTATTGTATAGAAGTAAGCTGAAAAAAGGCGGGGGTGTTTGGGGTGGATTTGACAAAGGAAGTTTCCTCGCTAAACAAAACCAAGCACCCCCGCGCGCTCGCTTTTTTTAGCTGACCTCTATACAATACTGGATGCAACGTTATATATTTTACTATTAAAGCGCCTGGGTAAGAGGCTGTCTCTCTTCCTGAATGACTGGCAGAAAGTTTATTTTCCTAGACATGAATGCCATCAGGTACAGAACAAACAATACTGTTTCAATATGCACTTACCAAATTTGGTAACCAACAGATAAGAAACAAACTTGAAGTGGCTAACACAAATAATATCGTTTCGTTTGGATGGCTTGTCGCAACTTTCATTTCGCGACGTTTTTGCACAAGCTTCCACTTTTGCCGAAAGGTCCCGGCAATGACAGCGATTGTTAGCAAAGACATGATGATACTGAACGCTGTACGAACATATAATGCACCGTCCTGATTCCAGGTTAACACGTAGTTTGTATAGGCTGAGGAATAACGTCTCGGTTTAGTTAGTGGTAATATTGCAATAAGTGTTGCATAAACAGTACAACCGAAACACGTAAGAAATGGAATTTTGCTCTTAGCTCTTGAGTAAGCATGATAAGCAAAAGGCTTCACCAAACAATACAATTTATCGGTTTGTAAAACCAAAATCTGAGCAAAAGCGAAATGATAACTGAACGAGTGAACAAAACCAAAAACATCACAAGCAACGTCAGACATTTCTCCGTATTTCGACCATCGTAGAATAGACGTTATGGTTAAAGTAAGTCCACCTAAAAAGTATGCGATGTTGATCCCCAAAAGGTTGTAAGCTGCGTGGCATTTTACGCCAAACCTTGTCCTTGATTTTTCTTGCCTCGCTTTTCTGCGCCAGATGATAAAAGTTGTGATAATGTTACCCACCAAAGTAGCTAGTCCAACAAGCAGCCATATTGTAGTCAAGAACGTCGGTTGAGTTTTTAAATGCATAAAGGAAACGATAAAATTAACCTGTACTGCATTTGCGTCGTGCTATAGACAGAATGTAAATAGAAGATCGACAAGATTTTTCGAATACTAACAACTCACGGTATAAAAACATTAGGGAGTCCCACGTTCAGTTTTGTTCAAATATCGCACTTTGAATATTTGCTGAACGCATGCATCGGCGGCATCAAAATATTGATAAAGGAGACATTTTAATCCGATACTGTGATACATCTATTATATTATAAAGATGCTGGACTGGTCAGTACACGCATAAACGAGAAACCACCCCATGATACCAGGGAAAAAGTCACATGCATGCAGAGTTAATTGAATTGTATGTATGCTTCCCAAATAGTTTTTGTGTTGTTTTTTTGTTTTTACCAATTTCATTTGAGTTCAAGTGGATCATGAGGCTAACAATTGTCAATCGTATAGGTTTCAGTAACATCTTTTTCAACTTTCTTGTTTTTTTACAGTTCTTAAGTTATGTTTTATCTTTTTGGAATTGATCCCTAATTCATCTATATATAGTATCTTTTTTGATCTCTTTTTTCATAATCGTTTCACAGAGTCTCACCTGATAGCTGATATATGCTTAATAGCCTTTTTGTGGTCTATTTATTATATATAACTTAATTTAAACACTCGAAGGAATATTGGCACATTTTAACATCTGCAAAGCAACCGACATATACTGTAGGCTTATATCATAATATAACTATTATAACTATTAAACATGCATATATATATACTGCATAACGTTAACGCCTAACGGTTATATACAAATATATCTTTTGAGTACTGAAATATATACACTTTGCTTCAATGGTTGGTGCAAATCCAAGTGATCGTTAGCATTTCATAAATAAAATTGCTATGAATATAAATGACCAAACTTATGGCTTTGCGAAACAAATATTGTAAATCGTAAAATTAGAAATTTGCCACTGGCCATAAGCACTTGTTGAAGTGGACAAATAAATTTCCGCTCCGCTAAGGACACCATATTCCATATAAAAATCAGTGCCGTTCAGTTGGACAAAATAATCACTGCACGACCATTGCTGGGTGGGGAAACTACTATCGCACGTGGACAAGTGTAGTTTTGTCAATTTAGCCACTCCTCCGTTGACATCAAGACATTTTCCTGACTCCTGATGTTGTATTTGAGTGCACGTTGTCCAGGTCCACCATTGCTTTTCGTCACTATGGTTACATGTCGTGACGATGACATCTTCACCGTTAAATGATGCACAAAGTTTATGGTGGGAATTATAGATCTGAAATACTATGCACATGCATATAGTGAATCACATGATATGGAATGTTCCAGGATCTTACATTAACTCTTGCATCGCTACAAATTGTATAAAGATTCAAGGTGCATGCAGATATTTGCTTAAAAATGCGTACCTTTTGGCGGCGTTTTCGGGCTATGAACGTTGTCTTCATATTTTGAACTAAAATGCTAGTAGTTTTGTGGAAAAGAAATGAAAAAATAATCTTCATGCATATTGACTATATTCAATTGGAAATTTAAAGGGTTTTAAAAAGAGAAGGTAAACTTACAGTCGCGACATCTTGATAAAAAGTCCATTCATCATCACTATGATTTGTCTTGCTTCCATTTGTTTCATTGCTTAATTGGCAGTTGATAACCAGAGTTGTTGTGGTTTTGTAGTGGAAACCAAGGCATGTTTCAGTTTGAACGCAAAGCAGTGCACATTCTACCACGTTGGTCACTTCATGTTCAGATATGATAACATTTCTTGACAAAGATCGACCTTTAAATCCAAAGGTACCATTTGATACTGTATTGACATATTGTACGAATCACAAAATATTACATTTTATGCTGTCGTGGTAAAATAATATCACGGTCACAATCTGTTTTTGTCCGGTCACTAATTCATACAATTTTCGAAAATTAACATGATCAGTGAAATCAAGAACCAAGACACCCGGATTCTCCTATATATATATATATATATATATATATATATATATATATATATATATATATATATATATATATATATATATATATATATATATATATATATATATATATATATATATATATAGTGCCTATGTTATTTTTAGTATGGTGGTTTTTAAGAGATTTATGCATGCCAATATTGTAACGTTGATCAAACGGAATGGGAATCAAATTTAGGTGTAAAGTTGTTAAATTATCAAATTTTACCCGGCATGGAATTAACTGGTCAACAAGTATTCTTGGCCGGTAATTGTCCGTTGACCGGCCGTTACTTTGAGCTGCATGGTTAATAAAAATTCAAAGTAAAAATAAAGCAGAAATTTGTTCGTGGGACATTCTCCTGGGACAATATTTCTAGCACTATATATATATATATATATCAAATAGGAATGAAGGAATTAAGATCTAGACAACACGATCGATGATGCATTACCTTTAAATTTAACCTTGTAGTTTGATGATTTTACGTCGGCATGCAGCTCTGATGTAAGCAATAAAAAGTGAAGAAACATTGCGATGTTTTCCATCATGTCTTTCTCCAGCACTTCGCACGAATGTTTCAAATAAATAGACGAAGAATAAAAGCAAGGTCATTTAAGGAAACAATCCATCAGGGACCACAGCTGCAAAGGTGTGCTCACCATGAGGCAGTTTTTTTTACGAACATCCTGTAACTCTTAATGCGATGCTGCACTAACATGCCTCACATTGATTTGTGTATAGTATTAATAAAATTTAATCGAATTCCAACAATGGAAATTCTTCATGTTTGCTTTGTTCAGTAGTTAATCGATTCATGTATAGCATCAACAAAAAATTAATCGAATTTCTACATTGTCATTGAAAAGAAAGCAAACTTATGCCGCATGTCAGTTCTGTAGCTTATGCACATGAAAAATAGAATTACTGATTTAGATAATAGATTTCTAAATAGAAATATATTTAAAAACCGAATCAAAATCGGCATGATGCGAGCAATTTATTTATAGCATGACCATTGGCATGACAAATTGTTGAATGATGATTCCATAGTGTATATCGTGCGTGCGTGCGTGCATGTCCACAATTGCACAAATAAGACAATCTCACGGTGCATGTTCGAAGTCGACTTTTCGTCGAGGCTAAAAGCCAGGTAAAAGATCGTGGGAGAGGTTAACAACGTCATAAAGGCGATTGAGAGTTAACAAGTTGAAATGCTTCTTAAATAAACTGTTTTTTCTATTATCTTCGGACCTTTCCCGCGCATTCTTCTGGAAATCCTAAACTCGTCAGGTTATAATTGATGAAAATAGATCGTGGGATAATGATAGAAAACAATATCTTTAAATCTAAATCCAATAGAAAGGAAATCACCAAGTCGAAATTGTGACGAAAATAGTCGGTAGAATGAGCAGTATTGCGAGGAGGGCAACCGATGAAACGCTCCGCGAGGTATATATCGTACAATGATCATTATACCAGTGCAAAAAAGGAAAGACAAGTAAAAATGTGAGCACAATGAACGTAAATCAACAACGGATGATTCGTTATCACGGCAAGCAAATTGAGACCTGATATCTGATCACAAAAATTTCTTCAGATGCGAGGACTTGAATGGCTATAACAATATATGTATAAAGCTATACTTCCAGTGATAGTAGAGCTCATGTAAACAGTAACATCCATTTTGAAATACGGGAAGTTCCTCGTAGTTTTCAATGTGGGAAGCTGCAGAATCAATGCTGCTAAGTTGATAAAAATTATATCTAATAGAAAATGTAAAAACCGATTAGTGCAAAAAACCCCCGAAGGCAATGTTTAATATGCGTTGCTTACAATCAAAAGCCAGGTGGATGACACAGCCTCCTGGAAAAAATATAATAAAAGCGATAAAAATATCCAAAGCGCAGATGATTATAGGATGACCAGATCGACAACAATAAAGTTGACATTGTATAGAAATATGTTAGCCCTTCATGCCATGCGAATATTGTAACTGTTGTCAAGTCAACAAAGAGTTTCGTCTTCACAACTTGCACTAAATGTCAACGTGTTTGCAGAAAAACACTACAATTTTTTGCATTCAATATTTCCTATGGGGTCTTTTAGTTGTTAGTACTGGCTATCCGTGAAAATTTCTTTCAAATTAGCCAACATACAATTCCCACCACTCATGCATGCATGAGAATGTATTTATATATAACGAGTTGTATAAAGTGTGCTTTACAATGAACAACTTCAAAATTCTGAACTAACTCAAGTGGGGAGCAAAGCCAAAGGTCAACTTCACAGTATTCCATCAATTTTTCAAAATCACAAATTGACTATAAAAACACAATTCCATTCAATTTTATTCAATGAAAAATTAAATACCTCATTAATACGAGGTTTACGTCTTTATTATATTCATTTTGAAATCAATGGTGTTTCTTGCAATCTGATTGGTTAATAAATAGTGTGATTATATATCGTACTATTTTTAAGCATTAATCACATCATTTATATGCCAATAAGATTGAAGCTCTGCACCACAATAACCAATAAGATTTCGTATTTTAGTGCAACTATCCAATCATATTGCAGGGGAAAATGGCACAATTTTTTTTTATTTTCAATTTTTAAATGCCCCGCAAAATTTCTTGACAAAAATAGATGAAAATTATTCACATTTTATACCGTTTATGGTTCTTTCAACCAATAAATCGTTTTGAATTTGTTTAATTTTTTGTACGATTTGAAAATGAATATAATAAAGTGGAAATTGCACTTCGTGTCGTTTTGTAATCACGCGTTTGATTTCACACCAAATTGCACTCCACTCAGTGCAATTACCATGATTTATTTCGTAAAATAAATTTAAATCATTTTAAATGCGTCAAATCAATGTATAAATTTGTATAAAAACGATTTTATTACTATACTTCACGGAATGAAGACTGTTTTCTAGGAGCCCTTATTAATATAACTACTGCGATTTTAATTGGCCAATTCTGTCACTAACTACACTGTATTGCTAAAAGGTAACTATCCTTTAATACGAAATGATTCATTACATTGAGGCTGCTTCCCATTTAACTGAAAATTTAGAGTGATTCACTGAAACTGTTTTAAACTGTTTTGTGCATGTGTATACACCATCGAAAAAAATCGCTTACATGCACGGAGAGGAGACGGAAACATCCACATTACTTTTTTAGATCAACAAGTGAATGAATAAACAAAGTTTGTTGTCTTAAAAATTGAGCATTCAATTTATCGACTGACTAAAATATTGTGAAAGTTGCCAATGCGTGTTTACATATAGAGGAAAAACGTGTAACTGCAACTGTAACTGCACGTGTAATTGTAAGCCTTACGTCGGAATGCCTTACGTAGGAAGTAGCCGTGTTTATACCATATTAATAAAATGTTATAGGTTATACCTATGACTTGCGGCACACCAGAGCGCGAGATCGCATGCATTTAAAATTCTAAGTAAAAAGCATGCATTTTATATCATTTTTAAGATGTTAATTTCCTTTCAGTATTCCTGTCTGAAAACCTCTCATCGTGATTTACGTAAGTGCAAGATCCGAGAAAAATAGAACTTTTGCGCAAAACACAAGGTTACCATACTGATAAATTTACCAAGGGAAGTTGAGCTGTTGATGTACAATAGTTCAACATTTCATCTTCCAACTGCTGGGTGGGTTCCGAGGTCCTTTAGGTTTCGGAACCCTCTTTTCGTATCCTGCAAATGTAGAATATGTGAATATAGTGTCAATATTGCTCGTGTGGTGGCGCGAAGTGTATAAGATGTCTCAAAACTTACCAATATTATCCAACAAGGTTCCTCTAACTTCATTTCTTCTTGACAAGGACAAAATCTGCAGAGTATATATAAAAACATCATAAGTTATAACCGATTTCATAGCAGAGAATTTCGATTTCTAAATTGCACATCCCCCCTGGCTTATTTGAACAATAAGACATAAAATCCACACCTTGTTCGTTAATGAAGAACTTTTACTCGTCCCCTTTGATTCGTTAGTTTGGTCTAAAAGTAAAGAATAAGAGTAATATAAACTGTAGCTGTACTGTAAGATACATCATAAACAGAAGTAAAGATTGGCTTCGGTCGCTATGCCGTGGGAGAAGCAACATCGTTCCCAGGGTATTCGCTCAGCCCGCGAGAAGCAAATCACAGACAAAGTCTTTGTTATATTTGTACAGTTTGCGATGCTCTAAACTTTTGGTATTTGCTGATTCTTTACGGTGATTTTCAATTTGCTTTGTATTCTTGAGACGTAAGTTAGGCCGATATCTGGTGTACCGAGTCCTTGCAAGTGTCGTCATATTTCGTAATCGCACTTCTTTGATGTAATTTTTGGTGGCTAATTAAAACACCGTGTAAAAAACCACCAGACATGAACGCGACTGTACTATTGCGGCTTATATTTAAACCTGTTAATGGCAAAGGTTTTAAGTTCCTCGCCCAAGATTTCGGACTACTTGTGTGACGTCATCATTGCAAGTATGGAATAGAGGGTCATGTGACGAAATGTCAGCAAGTAGTTTGAAGTGAAATCAGCATGTAAAAAATTGTGGTTATTAAATTCGTTTGCTTGCTTACCATGTGGTTCAACGATGGAGAGAAGTTCGGGTGTTTTTCTTGGAACGGCTGGCGCACGCTCCCCGTCCTAAATATAACATAGTATTTCGTAGAAAGATAACTGACGGTTATTTGGTCGCCATTTTCAAAGTAATTGGTGGCCGAATCGGAAAAAAGTTCCGATCTCTGGCTATGGTTTCTGTCGACGGGATCGTCGAGCGTCGACTAGCACTGGCGCCCAATTCGGTTCCAAATTGCCTTAATAGATGGCGACCGAGTTATCGTTTCAGTTCACATAGTGCTATATTGACTGTAATCAAACGTTCGTAAAAAGCAATAAAACTTGAGTAGCGGAATCAAAGCTTCCGTCAACATTTTAAAAGATGAACGTACCACACTATCAACTCCCTTAAAAGTGTTCTCATTCATCGGTCTCCTACAACTCCTGCTTTTGTTTACACTTGAATAAAGACTGCTATTCACATCTGAAATACAACAGTGAAAAAAAATAACTTGGAAATCCTGTGCCTCATTCAACAATATTATTATTTTTAAAAAAACATTTCTGTTTGTTTACATATTCAGTAATTTGACAACAGCCGAATTCATATTAGAGACGGGAAACTCGTCTAATGTGAATCCAGGTCACAGACGGGTCTCTTGTCCGAAATTACCCGTCTAACTTTCCTGTCTAAACATACGGATAAGTTGGACAGGACGAGAAACTCGTCTTAAATTCGCATTTAGACGGATAAATGAGACGAGTTTTTGAAATATCAACACGCTCAAGGACGGAACAAGGCTAAGAGAAAAAAAAACAAAATTTTTATCTAATTATTACGATATTAGTTATTAGCCCTTTTAAGCATTAACCAACCCATCATACGTATAAATTTATCCATTCCTATTCATATTTAGACGGGTTTTTACCATCAACTTTCCCGTCTAAGATGAGTCTCCCATCTCTAATATGAACTCGGCTAATAATTCAGTTCTCGAACTCAGTGGGTAAAAAATATTATCGTTTTGTTTATCGACCCAGTGGCAGAAAGGCACCCATAGAAACAGCTGCATGAATGCATGTAAACCCAATTTATAGTACAATGCTATAAACCTGACCTATGTAACGGTATCGAGTGTTTCAACGTTATATCCTGACAAAACCCCTTTTTAGCGAGCTTTAGTTTTGGTACATCACACTTAGTAAACCCAATAAATGAACTAATTTCGCTTACCCTGGCTATAAACCTACCCTGTTCGTTCGGGAATACTTTATCGTTATGTTCCTGGTCAGTGTCTTCCGTTGGCAAGACCTTGGCTCTTCTACCGTCCAAAGCTTTCATCTGGTCGGAATATTTTGCGCCGAGACTTGAACCGATAGTAGAGAACTTTTGGTCCGCAAGTGCACTACGATACTCGTGATCGTTCGAGCTGCTCAATGAACGAGGTAGGTCCTTGCGTAATGGTGCTTTTACGGGCGATTTGCCAGAGCGGTCATTAGACGAATTAGCTACGTGATTTGGGGACCTTCTAGGTGGAACTAAAAAAAGAATATTCCTTATTGAATGACCCAGCACCGTTTTCAAGGGAAATCCTTCGCTGACATAAAATTTCTGACAAAATACAAAAAAGCACAATAGAGCCCCCTTTACACTACGCCTGATTTTAGGCTTGGTACGGATAAAATTGGTATTTGGATGAAATTTGTTTGGCTATTAGGCAGCTAAAAATTCATTTGTACCAATTTTTCTAGTATGATACAAAAAATTGTGCTTCTGTGTGAATGGAACTCTGAGATGGGGCCCTATCTATTTACGACTTGTATGTCACTATATAGAGTTTAGACATAGTGCATGAAGGATGTTGTGGACAATGGTGAATCACTCATCACTCCGGGGCACTTACCATCAACGTTTTCATATTTCGACGTAGATGTTGGCGCCACATTGGGTTTTGTTGGAACCGCAGGGCGGTTGGTCGTGGGGGGACGCGGCTTGGGCGCTGGAACTATAGTAATTGGAAATGAAAAATAGTATTTTCGTTCAAGATGAAGTCATTCACTAGAGGGCCTAATAAGTTCTAATTCATCCCTTCTGACCTCAAAATATTTAAATTGGTTTGGAATTGCCGCCAAAACAACTAAAGGCCATGTTATACGGTGCAATTTTCCTTGCAACTTCCAATGCAAATCTACTTTAAAGAGATGTAAACTAGTGAAGAGTCTTTAAAATATAAGTGTAAGAAGCGCCATGGAGCGTAATAAAAACAAAAGTTCGGTAGTTCCCAAATTTACATCTCTCAAAAGAAGAATTGCATTGCAAGTTGCAAGAAAAGTTGCACCGTGTATGTTGATAAACTATTATCATACATAAAACAAACTGGTAAAAACTCATATCAAATATAACATTTATCAGTAATCAACGTACTTAGGATATTCTCATAGGAGTTAGAAGCTGGAAGCGCGCTAGTGGATCTAGGGGAGCCTGCAAGATAATTGATTGAAGATAATTAAATTTAGTTGATTGTACAAGATAAATATTTATTTTAATTTATTTTCACTATCCTTTTGTATTTCAACATGATATAGGCTCGTGGGGGGGGACACAAAAATAACTCGCCTCATTAAAGCTTGGTTCTCAATCAGCCTCACCCAGCCGCTTTAGTGGAATAACATATAACGTTGCATTCAGCTATTATATAGAGATCAGCTGAGAGTAATCGAGCGCGCAGGGGTGCTTGGGGTGCCCCTTAAACAGAACTACCTCAAACAACCTCCCGCGCTCGCTTTTTTTTAAGCTGACCTCTATACAATAGCTGAATGCCACGTAATATATTTTACTACTAAAGGCGCCTGGGTATGAGGTGGCAATTTATGATCGAACCATGCTCTAAATGACACAACTGTGTAAAAAGCTCCCCCCCCTTAAAACATTTCAAAATATATACTCCTATTTTCAGCAGTCATATACGATAACGATACCTCGGGGAGGGGCGACGACGTAGTCAGAATGGTCATCATCAAAAGTATTTCGTGATCTGTCCACTATCACATAATCAGGAGCCGAGGCTTGTCGTGAGAGAGGGACCTTTTGTCTCCCACCATCCGGCGTACTTATGCCATTTCTAGTATTTGCCACGGCTGGTTTTGGTACGCCTGCACTCTTTGACGTATCAGCAGAAAAGTCGATTAAATCAATTGAAACATTGACGTAGTTCTCGGAGGGATGTTGTTGTGACGTTTGGCCAACACGTGTTGGTTGTGAGCTTCCTCCTTGAGGTAAACCAACTAGAAATTGTTTATAACATTCGATCAAGATACATAGCGTGGTGCATACTCAAGTTATCTTGGGAATTGAGAAAAGGTTGGTAGATCGCAGTGAAAAGCTAAACAATTTTCTGAAATGCATTGTCTTTCTCGCAGGCAATTTGAATCCAATTGAAAAATTGACGAAAAAAAGAAGTTCTTTTTGGTCCCGTAGCGATTAATATACCCTTTACCTCAAATCTTGAAATTCATCAGAGTATGACTTTGTGTTTAAATGTATTCTTTTATAAAAGAGTTTAATTTACGGGTTCCTCCCTCGGCGCTCGTGGGCACGATAAACTTATATACAATACGAAAATAGAAAACTATAAATTCTCACTTTTTTGTTCTAATTTTGCTGCAGACGGTTTTTCCTTCTTTTTCATGACCTTCGGATGTGGAGTTTTATCAATAGATATTGGGGATTGAGGTATCAAGTCAGAATCGGAGTCGGAACTTTGCGTGCGCGGAACACTGACATTCTCGTATAAATGGTGATCATGGATTTCCTCGATTGGTAAATCAAGCTTTTCTCGGAATAACGAAAGCATCGCTCGACATAAAAACTCGTATTGTCCCTAAATGGAAATAAGATTATAAGGTACAGTAACAGGTACATGCAGCCAGGTTAGAAGCTAGGCTGTTACCTTCTTTTACCAAACCCAGAGAAGTTAAGGTAAGTTGAAGGTAAGCTAGAAAATGGTGTTGGTGGAAAATTTCCTGGATTGTGATAAAAGTCAAGAGGAATTTGCATCACCGTAAGCAAGCCCCCCATTCGAGAGATTCTTTACAAGTATTCCTTATTTCAAGTATACTATAAGACGGTCTAAAACAGTTCATGCAAGTGTTATATTTTTGCCTCAAGTTAATAGTTCTAAAACAAGAAATCTCGTTGTCATCGGGAACGAATACAACGAAATTAAAATTTTTAAAATTCTTTTAGTCACTTTCGACCATCTTGGCTTTAATTTGTAACATTTTTCGGCATGGCGGTTTAGATTTGACTCCTACTACCACTACCGGTACCGCTACCTTTGAGGAAACATGAACCAATCAAATGCGGTAACTCTATTAGATTAACCAATCACGAGCGCGGGTAAGTGAACAAAATATAGCGGTGGGGTAGTGGAGGGTCTGAACCTGTTAGCGTTCGCTTATGCATGGTTGATTTGAAACTACAAAATGAATAAATACAACCATAGTTGATACAACTAAAAATGCCAGGAACGAATGGAGTTTTACTTTTAGATTGTACCTTAGTTTGAACCATAGCATGTCTTTGTTTTCTGAGATTCTCGACAATTCGGTATGGAATAAGTTCTTTGTATTTCTAACAATGCATGAAAAGAGATTCTCTTGTCGATATTCTTTTGATTCATTGAATAACCGTTGCAAAAATAATATTCAAAACCTACCGTTTCTTTCAGCAAAGAGCGCGTGTAATCCAAAGCACAAATTGTTCCGGTGCGCCCACAACCAGCACTAATGAAATCATACAAATTAAAAAATTGCAAAATTACATGCAATATACATGGATGTTTAACTCATTTGATGACGTTTCTCCTCAGAGCTTAAATTCAGGAACTAACTCGCATATATATGGTTTTTCTTACACGGGGATTGGTAAGCAGAGAGAAACAGGATACTTTTGAAAAAAGGATAATATACGTATATGCAATTAATGATGACCCCTCCCCCCCAGTGAAGTGCATGACCTCAAAACTTAATCTCTGCAGGGGATGGTGGATTGTTGCTATCATGAACAATATACTATAAACAATACTTCACCTGCAATGCATTATAATGGGCGGGTTGTCCTCAGGTTGATATTCACGTACTAACTTGATCAAATTAATCAGAGGTAATGCAGTCGTAGGAACGCCATGATCAGGCCAAGCTGTGTAATGAAACTGGGTGATTGTAAGTTTTTCCTAAAAAAGACATGGACGGATAAAGTTGCATACCGGTTAACTTTTTTCAGTTGAAGTGTTTTCCTGAGTCTTTCTCTGTGTGCAGAGCGGAAATTTTACTACACTTTTATTTAAACTGGATATAGCCTATATAACGGTTTCACAACACAGGGGAGGAGCTGAATTTATATTTAGCCTTTCTCACGATGACGTTTTGGGATACTTTCAATTTTCTGAAATGAGTTTAAAAATTATGATTTAAAATGAAAATCTTTTTTTTTTTTTAGACTCAACACACCATTTGAAGAATAAATTCAGCCTATATTTAAAGACAGTCCCCGTTACGAGGCGTTACGCTCACGGTTTTGAAGAAAAGTACCCCAAAAATGGCGGCATATTCGTCATCGTGAGAAAGGCTAACTATATGCAAACCCAAATTACTGGTTTCATAGAATGATAAAGCTAACAGCAAACTAAAACTACACAAAAGTTTCACGAAAACATTTCATGTCACTTGGAAGTCTGTATTTCAATTTACTTGAAAACAACTTACGCCATGAGATTCGGCGACAAGAGTTCGCATTACAAAATCATTTCCAACGCCGATAGTTCTTTCCTTTAAATAAGATAATTTATCTTTTTAGTCTGAAAGCTGGTGAAAAACCTAAATGCATGATTAAGGTAAAGAAATAGATATGTAAAAAGGAACACTCCGCAATTATATATTTAAAGTTGCATGGCCACTTACAAACACTGGGAAATTCAGAAAACGCCAAGCAAAACTGAGATCGTCAACTTAGATTATTTCTTAATTCGATATTGTTTTATTAGTAGGTAAAATGTATTGGCATATGTTGCAAGATAATGTTTTGATATCGTGTTTTGATATCGTTAAACACATGACATATTGCAAGATCAATTTCTCTTTCCCTCTTTCTTTTCAAAGCCTGGTTTCCATTTCCACTGCATGGTTGTAAATTTGGCTTTATTTTTTGTATTCAATCGGTCATTGTTGACTGCACACAAATAGATATATTCTATCACATCAGCCACCTTAACACGTTCACGACACTTACGATTGAGTGGAAACCATAGCTACTTTTAAAGCTTGGTAGCTGCATTTTTACATAGGGGTGTCCATAGCGGGTTTACTAACAAATTGATACGTATTCCTTTAAATTGAGTGGGCATCTTTGCCCCCCTCGTCCCAGTTAGTAAAAGGCAAAAGAGATAGAGCTATTAGTCCCCTGCTCAGAGCACAGCCATTCTACGTAGGCTAACCTGACCAGAACCTCTACCGGAGTTTTGTCCTCCTGGGCTTAATTCACATCGAATGAGTTTTTTAAAGTTCTTTAATTTTTGGTGTGACAACTAAGAAAATCCTGATGCTCTTAGTCAATCAAAAACAAGGAAAATTGTTAATAATATATATATAAGAATATTCTGCAGCTGACGTCTGTCTCATTGGACCTTTAAAATTTTCACTGTAAAATGATCAATTTATCTATTGACATTGTACAGATCGTTCGTTTACAAATCAGTCCTTCCAGGGCACACGCGACATCTTATTTTTCCCGACGGAGCCCTACACCTGCTGACCTGCGTTCGTTTAAGAGGACCTGACTGCTATCATGAATCGGAAATTCGTTAAAGCGCACAATCACGCAACATTTTGCTAACCCACGCTGAATTTCTCACTGAATGAGTCACATACGATTTATCGTTTTTTTTAAGGATGATTTCGAGTCCAAGTTCGAAAGGTATGACTTCGTCGGCCAGATCTATGCCTGCATTCCGCATTTCTGACAATTCACACGAAGTTCTATAGACCTTTTTAAAGTCTTCGCTGTGACGTAGTATGCTTCCACTGAAACTGCGTCACAACGTCGTATACTTCTTATAAAAGCCATTAAAGGCCTATATACTTCCAATTAGTTTGACTTTCCGACTTTCCCTAGCCCTGGATGAGCGGGAACAAACAATCTCGATTGACAATAGAGCTATATATACCTCGGCTCCGGACAAAGGGTACGACTAGGGGTAGCCTTATTTTGTTCAATCAATTTCCATCGGTACTTGATATTTGTGAATTTTTTAGACTTTGGCCTCTTCAGTCAAGTAAGATCATAAGCAGTCCGGTCAATGCGGGTACCGCATACTATCTTATGTATATAATTATCCTAAATGCATACATTAATACCATCGCTTGAAACACAAAAAATACGCTAGTTTCTTGAAAAAAAAACTAGATACAAAACAGCTTGGATATATTTACTAAATTTAACGGTCATTTTTAGACTTGAGAACAACTTAAAAATGCTTAAATTTTGCAAATAAAAAGTGCATTTGTATCGAAATTTACAGAGGCGGGATGCAATTTACTCGACAAACGTCATCATCGGAAAAATCACGAAGGCCAAGTCAATGAAGAAATTTGCCTACGATTTTCTGATGATGACGTTTGTCGAGTAAATTGCATCCCGCCTCTGTTTGACAAAAATTCGATAAAAATACACTTTTTATTTGCAAACTGATTTAAGCAATTTTAAGTTGTTTTCAAGTCTAAAAATGACAGATAAATTTAGTAAATATATCCAAGGTGTTTTGTATCTAGTTTTTTTTAAGGGACTAGGGTAATTTTTGTGTTTTCAAAATTCAAACCATGGCATTAATGTATGCATTATATTTTTTGTCAGAGAGTTGCCAGCTTTAGGATAATTATATACATATAGGATATAAGTATAATATATGGTGCCTGCATTGACCGGGCTGCTTTATTGTTTGATTCGCATCATGAAACATGTCAACAACAAGTAATTCCATCGAGTAAAATAAGGCTGCTTCGTAACCGTTGACCGGAACCGGAGTATTTTATCTCTAACGTACATACAATCAAAGGGTATAATCAAATAGCGGATTTAATTTCAGACAGCAGAAAGCTGTCTGTTGAACAAGGAGGTATTTTGTAATTTTGTAAATTAATCGGCAAATTTGTTTTCCTTTTTCACGCTAAGCCAATCAGGATGCCCAAATTTTTAATACGTCATGTAAAATGTTGAATAGTGTACCTTTTTTACCCGAAGTAGTGAATATTTATGATTGCGTTAATATCAGTAAACACGATCCAATTTTGTTGGATCCAATTCACTTCTGATGGATGTTTTATAGTTTGTTGTCTTGTAATGTATATGAGTAGCAAATCCACTGAAGCCAATGCAGTACTGCTTTATCAATAACTGACTACATTTCATACGTCAGAAGTGAATTGGATCCAACAAATTTGGATCGTGTGAACAGACCTTTACTGAAAATTCCTGGTTTGTCTGTTGTAATAATATTAATTCACTCACGGTTTTTACTATAATTTCACCAAAAGTGAGATTGTCCTCGTCACCTTCGCACCAATACCGATGACATTTTTTCTATAATGTAACCCGACGTGAAATCAATAATTCATCCGTACTTACAAACCTTATAAATATCAATTTCACAAAATAATCACTACTTCGTAAATACTTGAGAACGCACCTTGCCATTTTCCTCCTCACGGCATAACATCACAACCACCTTAAGAAAAATTACACCAGTGTCTAAGTTTCCTTGATCACACACCAAACAAAGCCCCGTTGCTTTGCAGCTAATGTTATATACGCAATAATCACCGTCAAATTAACAATTCGGAAAGAATTTATAAAAAGAAAATGCAATAAAAAAGGGTGTTCTGGCAAAACTTCAACAAGGGTGAGAATCTGATATACGCTACTAAAAAATTGTAAAAAAGTGATTTAAGGAAATAATGTAATTGTTCGCAGTTTGGATCACTTACAATGATCATTCAGTTACCTTGAAAGTTGAGACTTGACAGAGTTGCAACTAAGCCCCTTCAAAGCCCCACAACCAATACGCTCTGGTAAGGCTGGTATACTGAATGGAAGCACTACTCAGTTGGCAAAGTTTAAGCCATCCCAGGTTTTCCCTGAATGACCAACCGATTGTAAAGCAAACCACGTTTCATTGTAAATTAGATTGCAGGCATACAAACGCCGTTTACAGCGATGGTCGGGGGATGTGGCATTGCAGAACAAATGAACAATGAAATCACCGACCACGTTTGAAAACGTGTAAAACGGCGTGCCCGGCCTGTTAGCCGTTAGCGGGCCGCCGGCCTCTCTGTGATATACCCTAAATTGGGGTATATCGTCCCTAAAATTGCTAGGCCTAGATTCCACATGATGCCGGGAAGTCAGCGAGTCCTATTGTCTGTGATTACTAAATTCTGCTTGAACAATAGAATGGTACACTCTTGCGATAATCACTGTATAATTAAATTACCTTGACTTTATACGACCATAACATGCGCCAAAAATCGTTTACTGTGTTGGGAAGAGGACCTTGCGAAGCAATATATACTTTTTCACCATCAACGCCCTAAAATTGTTCATTAAAAAAGCTGTAGTTTCGATATTTTTTAATATGCGTGCTAGATGACCATGATAATTTTTCAATCGCAAGCAAGATGGGAATTTATTTTCGATTGGGCTAAAATGGATTTCATTTCCATATTGTATGATTGATAATTCATGTTTATTTACACATTGGTCACACTTGCATTGATTATTGCGACCTCTGCACGACAAGAATCTTTCATGCCATGCTATGTCAGATCTAGCTGTGAGTGGTCCCAGCAAACAACGCAATTTTCAATTTTCATGTACTTTAATAGTCTTAGAGAAGGCAGCTAAAACAGCCATTTATAAAAATTATAAATGCGGCTGTAGTTTACGGCCACAGAACGGGCGGTTAACTATACCTGCAGTAGATAGAACTTTTTTGAGGGCGCATGTATTCTGGGGGAGGTCCAGGATAAATGGAATTTTTACTCTCTAGCTTAAGCAAATATCAAAAGTGTTAACCCTCCCTCCTTTTCATTCCTTCCCTTCTCCTCATCAAGGCTGATTCTATAGAAATAATTGGGGGGGGGGAGGGGGCACTGCCCTACTGATAGAACTAATAACAGGTACATGGTTCATTAAAATGGAACATAGTACATAAAGTACAAGGTAGATTAAAATAGAGCTCTCATGATGTGATGTAGTGGGCTATCATGACTATCATGGTCTACCTTGATGAAGTTAGCATTGATGTAGTCAGAATCATCATCACCAAAGGGAGGAATGGTAACTCGAGTGTGATCAACTAAAAAAAAATATGAAACATAATGTTTCAAGTTATGACTTTTGCCTTATATGTTTTTTTTCGCTATTCAATTATTCACGCCACAGATGCCTTTATATCGAAACAATGTTCACCCATAATTTGTACTGATTAACTTCTGGTAATAGACCTTTTCTGTAATTACATCACATTACATAATTATTCATTGATTCATTGGTTCAAACATTATTATGACTACGCAAACTGTTAACCAATATGAATTAAACAATGACGACCGTGTTGAATCAAGATTTGCTCCACAGCAATATAGCACAACTAATTTTAAGAATTTTTTTTCACTGTACATGCATATCATACCCTTTGAAAGTTTCAGAGAATGGGCCCTGCTGATAGCCCATATTAACAGCAAAAACTAGACTCTTACATGGTAAAATATCCTTGAATCTATTCTTGGCTCTATTTGAGAGACATTCTCCAGCTTTGGTTGCATAGGCAGTATTTCCCTTGGCTTTGTACTTGAATGAAGTCTGTCGGAGTGCCTGCACAATTAACATACACAAAGAGGATCAAGCCCAGTTGTAGGCGTACTGTGGTTAAAATTAAAAAATGTTTCTGATATATTAGATTTCTGATATAACTGGGCATTGAACATTGGAAAAATAAACCTAAACATTTGAAACCTTTCTGACACCAACTAGTGCCTAAGAGGAGGGAGATCTCTCAGAATGATCATTAATTTAGCATTTCTGTTATCGGTGCTAATTATGCATAATTATGCATGTTTTGCAACTCTGTACAAACACAATATTAAAATATCTGTGTCCAGACCAACATCAAGGCAGTGTGAAAATGCCTGGCATGGTGTGAAAATCTGCAAAAAATTTTAGATGCAAAATTTGTATCTAAAAATAGTTATATAGTCTCTAAATGCAAAATTTCTCTGTTAATTCAAATGTATGAATTGTGCATATGACATTCGCATTGCGTGTTCATCATCATTTATCAGTGCAGATAACAATTTTGTCTTAGTTTGACAATCACCTTTCAAATGCATGGTCATATGGTCAGACACACACCAATAATTGTTGGTGATTATTCATATTAATTTGATGCTACATCATGCATGTAAATGGTTGTATATATAACATGTCCAAAAACATATGTGCATGAAGTTATTTAAAAATATGAAATGATCATGGCATACAATGTTTACATAGATATATTTCCTATATAGAATCCTACAAAGGTGGTAAACCAGTTGATAATAGTGAAAATGTTTGCCTAGTATAAAATTGATCAGCCATTTCTTGTTCTTGGATGCTTATTTGGAGGCATATTGCTGATGGCCAATTGTAAGATAATCAGTGTTACAAATTTATTGTAAATTGCATGTGGGGCTGATAAAATTGCACCAAATCAATATTTCCACAAAAGTACACCAACTTCCTGTTCATCGGCATAAATCTTAGTCTTAAGCTATTTTAATTATTAGAGAGATTGCTGTGGAAAGATTTGGATGTGTGGAAGAGCTAGCATCATTATTTTATACTTGCATCTATTTATAGCATTCCTCGAATACTTCGTCACAATTCACAAAAATAAATTATTTCCATTTATTTTTGGTTTATTCATAGTACTACCGCTCATGATTCAATATAAGACAAACTATACTAGTTGCACTGATAACTCTATTAAAATACCAAAGCTATGTCGTATTAAGCCGAACAATCCGAAATAATCCATCAGCAATCTTGATAAAGCCCAAAACATACTAAATACGCTTATATTATCAGCAGAATGAAGGCTGCAACACATAACCTGTACATACTTGAAATTCTCGAGCGAAACCGCTTTCACCATTTTGGTCTAATTCACCAAGAACATTTATTGTTTTCTCGAATTGTTTAAAGGCTGTTTCCATCGTGGCAAATTTGTGCGATGAATGTGGTCCAAATTATGGCAACTCTTCAAACACAACCATATTTGTGAAAATGCAACCTATCGGTTTCCATTACCCTTAAAAAACGTCTGACAGGATATTTTTCTGGTTTAACCGCTGCAAAAGGTTTACTTGCGAGTAAAGTTTGCCTAACCAAATTTGAACTTCGATCAGGAAATGAACATGATGTACATTTCTGTTGCTTCGTCCATTAAACACTAAACAGATAATTGAGACATTTATTATCTATCGTATATTTTGGAATGCACGATCGTACTAAAATCAATATTTTGACAGGATTCTTGTTAGGCGAAATTTGCGCGATGGCCATAAATGCAACATTTTGATTGGTTGTCTTTATATCGGAAGCCGTCGGAAATATTGTTAAACGATGCCTTGTAGTAATCAATTGAATAATGAATATTCCAAATAGAATATGTCGAAGCTCGTGATTATTACTATGTAAAGACACAGCTAAACGTGTTAAAGGTAATTATTTTAGGAATTTTACGAGGGCGAATATTTGCCTGAAGGGAAATGAAAATGATACATAATAGCTTTTTCCTTCGAGTTTGAGGTATGAAAGCCAACCTTGAACCTTTTGCGCTGAAATGGTTAACAGAATTAACAGTTTATAAACAGGAAGTAAGGACACACGGAAGTATTGGCACACAGATTAGGAAAATTGTAATTTGGGAAGTTTCCGGCCGTCCATGTAAAAATAATTTTAGAACCTGTCCACACGTATCCGTATATTTTTAAATAACTGCAAATAAATTAGGTAAGAACTCTTGACCAGAATTAGATATATACAGAATAGCAGGGACGTACCGAGCGAAAGGGCGTGTGGCACCCACCTTTAAAAAGAGTCGGTAAATTTATATGAGATTCATCGTGGTCTCGTTATGTTAAAACAAAAAGCAAAAGTGCAAAACCTGTTTCCTGCAACGCGGGTGACGTGCGTGTCTGACAATATTGAGACAGTGTATGTATGTATGATAGCTTTATTCAAACGCCTACATAAATGTTTCAGTGCATTTTTACTTTAACTAAATTAATAAACCACTCGGTATTGGGCTGCCTATAATAAAATTAGGTAAATTTAGGAATTATAGTCTAAAATCGGTCATGATCGGACTTCGTCGGGAAATTATTAAAACGTTCCCTCAAATCTGAATACACACCCGGTACGGCTTTTAAAAAATAGAAAAAAAATTCAATTTCATCTTGGGTTTAAACGGGGTTTTCCCCTCCTCCAATTGGTGAAATTTTCGGGCCTCCTCCAATACTTTGTTGCTGAATCTGGCACTTCAAGGTGATATAAGCGTGTTTGCTTTGATCTGAGTAGGCATTGCTTGCAAATCGGAAATCACGACCTTCGATCACTTCATGTGTATCTCGTAACAAAAGCCCATAATTTGAACCACCTGATTTCCATTTTTGGGCTTGCGGTGTGACGTCAAGAGTATACCATTTCCCACCTAAATGCAAATAAAGTAAAATATTATCCCTATCTGCGCATCTGCTCGGCTCATAACAATATGATGGCCCTTTGATGTACGTATAAAATATCGTAAAAGTAGTGAAAATGTAGTTTGGTAAGCAGTACTTTAAATCTGCACTCTATCGACACTGCATGGGCGCTATTTGTCGCGACGAGGACTATATACAAATTAAAATTATGCAATGCGTTTTTCTTTTTTAATTGCAATGCATGTAATCTACTCTGAGTTTGATGATAATCGCGTATTAAAAATCAAGGAGTTTCACTGAATACACTATTATAGAAATAGTAAAAATAGCGACAAAATTTATCACTGAATCGGCAAGCTTAGTTCCTCAGTTCCTGTGGTGCACCACAGATAAAAAATAGACCGAGTTGTACTTTTAAAAAACTCATCCTTAGTACTTTAATATTTGTTCTTGAGCAGTGACGAGTTAAATTTGAATTTACGATTTCTAGTGCTTACCAAACAAAAGATAACTAGACAAAACGTTCAGAACAGTGTAGCATGGGCAATATAGTGAAATACCGTTCTTCCTTTCCTGGGCCCCTGTGGGAGTAATCATGGCTATACCTAGCTGGAGACTGTATAAAAAGATCGATATTGCCGCTGTATCTTAGAATGGGAAAAAACGGAGGTTAATAATGAGGACAATAAAGATAACTTCGAATTCAAACCTGGCGTCGCTGTCACCGTAGTGGAATAAATTGCATCATTAGCTGCATCCTTTCCCAGATCCAACCACTGCCGTTCCCATTTTAGCCCACTGCCGACGCCCCTCTCTGTACTTGTTGCTTTGGACTCGGACCAGGACTTCAGTACCGTGTGGGCTACAATATGTCGGGTTACATCAGGGAGAGATGGTACGCTGCTTGCCTTATGTGCATACACGAAATATATATGAAGAGTTGCTTCTAAAGGTAAAATGCACTCTGCAGGAATATTCTGGAACCTCATCAAACTCCTTTTCAACGGATACCCAGGGTGCGTGCCAACGATTAAGTACGGAAGATAGTTGAAATTGGTCGAACCGCGTTCCAGTGTAACATCTTCAACTACCTTAAGGATGTAATTCTGAGCCAGTATTGTGGAGAAGGCAAGCGAGACTATGAATAGCCCTGGAATCAAGCTCATCTTGTCTAAAATTGAAAGACATGCACGATCATTCAGTTCCTGTTGCGGTCATGCACATAAACTGATAATATATACCGTATAGTTAAACTTCAAATCCATGCAGTAAATATTGTTAGTTTACGTTCATGCATGAGCATGACAATATTTCTTACAGTACGGTTTCTGCATCTATTTTAGAATCTAGGATAATATAAACTGACACTTACATGTTATGACACTTTCTTCAAATCTTTATAGTTCCTCAGTATATGGTTTGAATCTTCCCTGAGTTCCCTCCAGTGGCTCTGTAGTCCGCTGTATCACTGTACGAGTCTACTTGTTGACCGAATCAGCTTTTTATATGAATGTGGTCGGAAACCTAAGCCTAAAGCTTCGTCATTACCATCAAATGTCGTCAACATTGACATTACGCTAAAAATGCGTAAATCCGGAGGATATTTCGTTGCATTGTCGAGCAAGTCACGAATAGAACATGCAGAATAGTGTATGTTATATTATATTATAAACCACAAATTAAGCATTTTAATAAGATCAGAATTCTTCACAGGGATACTGATGTACTGTAAGATATGGTTTTTGTGTCGTGCATGTGTTACAATGAAGTATATACAAAGAGTATTTATATAACAGTGATTTCCTCCCATACTAAACGAATAGAACTAGCTATCATAACTATTTGCATATATATAGTTTTGTAAAATACTTGAATATATTGAACGATCACGAACAGGCTATATCTTGTATATTGTAGTGATAATTTTTGAAAAACAAAAAATATGTAAGCTGACTATAGCCCGAGTATATTATTATAGGCATATAGCGATTTCCCAATTATATTTACAAAGACACGTATTTGTGCAAAACCCCGCCTCTACCGTTGTCTGGTCACTTAGAATTGTGTATGAGATCCGGTGTACGTCAGTAATATTGATTCTGAGCTGTAAGTCCTAACAAATTCTTAATTTCCCCCCTCATTTATGTATGTTATAGAATTTAATAAATCAATCGTTCCAATCAATAGCGCGCAACTCAAAATCTATTTAGACGCTAAACTAGAGAACCGTTTAATTACTTGAGATGCATGCCGTAGCTTTAATGATTACATAGTATTAATGTCTATAAAACTATATATTAATTCTTCTCGAAGCACTGTTTATATATTATATATATGGCCATGTACTGATATTATAGACATTAAGTTTTGTGACCCAACGTCTGATATAACTCTGATAGCATACGTATACGGCTATTTTATAAAAAAAGTAACCTTCATAGCATGGCCATGGGCCTTTTTTTCGGGGATGAATATTTTGGAGCTATTCGATTGTGTATGTACTTTTTGGAGCTTTTCGATTGTGTATAATTGGCCCGAAACGATTTCCCTTTCCACACTGACGGAAAGCGGTGCTTTAAACGGATCAATCTTTCGACACTTCGGATGATCACTAATATTTCGTTATGCAAATCATAAAGCGCGACTGTTTAAGATACGCGTCTATACTATATATGAAAAAGTGAATTTATTCACCACCGTTTGCATTAGTGATAAAGAGTGACAGCAATAGTTTCTACACAGTCACAGGAACAATGGGGCATCAAAAGCACGGAAGTGATGCATGCACACCACCCCATCAACCGCAGTTGATTTCCCGGCCAGGGGTCTACGAAAAAGTGTACACTGATTTACGGTATAGAGAAGTTCTGCTACGCTTAGTGTCAACAACAAAGCTTTTAATTGAGGGAAAATTTGATCAAACATATCAGATATACAAAATATATGAATTCAAGAGATACATCTTGAGCTATATATAGAGCTTTTCCGTTATCGCGTCGGCAAATACGTGGACTTAATTCTTTTCATTATACGAGGATCCTGGCCCAAAGAAGGTCAGTATATAGTTTATTAGCTCATTAATGATAATAAAGGATGTATGTATGGCTCATGGCTGCTTATACAGTTGAAATAAGTAAAGAAAACAATATAATACGAGCACCCCCTTATATATACCACTGCATTTTACTCTTGAAAATGAAACGAAACGAAATAATGGATTTGAGAACGTTATTCAGCAAAATAAGCAAATTGATAACAAATTCTTTTTACGATGTCTTATCCTTTTATCAGTGAAATTAACGAGTGTGTGTATAACGGCACGTATATATAGCCATGAATGATTGCTCACACACACTTACCTCCCAATAAGAACATCTTTGACAGACTAGCACACAAGTACCATATATGAAATGCCGCCAAAACATTCGCAGCTCTCGGAAAAAGACACTATACTGGAGTGCTAAACGGGCTGGGTCGTGTCCTGGACACCATAAACGATTTAATGCTGAAAGGAAGTCATTTCAAATTTATATAAGACCAACCCGTCTCTTTGGGTTCTTGAAGGTGACATTATAATGTAATATAATGTCTCTATGAATCTTTTTGTAGAATATTCAATGTGAAATTCCTTGTTCAGTAGTATTTCGTTATTTTTTATTTACACCCGATATCATGCCTCGTGAACTTAATCGGGAAGTTTCTTGCAAGTCCATGAGTTATTTTCATTGTCTGAAATCACTGATAATCTGAAATTGTCATTCCATGAGTTATACACATTGTCTAAAATTTTCCTGGTTCACACCGGTCACACGGTAAAAGCGCATAATTTGAGACGTGATGCATGACAGCAGACAATGGGGGAGGCCGATCATGTCTCAGAACCGTGTGAAACGGGTTAAAAAAGTTTTCTAACCGACAATTAAAGCATTTTTGCTAGAAAAATCTGCGATCATCAAAACGTGTATTCATGAAAGTCATGTACCGATTTAATTCAAGCGAAAGCCAAAAGCAAACGTATATAAAAGACAAGAAAAAACTTTTCAAAACAACCTTGTATAAACTTAACTTTTATGTTTGTTTTTCAAAGAACGTCAATTTCCGAGCGCAAATATTCTGGTAAAATCCGTAAAATGTATCCACCATGTCTTTGGTAATGGTGAATTAGCGTGCACACTTAACAAATAGTAACGTTAAGGTGAACGTGAGCTTCAACACTCATGCCAGTATGTACTATAAGAGTATATGTCTATCGCCTGTATTCAAAAAGCTCACTCACACTCACACTCACATAGTGTGACATATAAATTTCGTTAATGCTGATCAATGAGAAAGTTCTCTTTGAATAGATGAAAATATATAAGGTAAATCACTGAAAATCAAGCCCCTGTTCGGCCGAAAATACCGCCATTGAAACGTTATGAGAAGATTAAGATCTCCCACTCAATGAGTTTGAGTGTGAGTGAGCTTTTAGAATACAGGCGTATGACTCTATGTATATGATATGTATAGAATATATTTAGAATGAATTATCATATATACATCCAATTGAAAAATAACCCTACAAACAGCTATAATATATATCCATCATATTCATCATATTACCACACCTCTGTCACAACATTGCCACTACTGTTTTCATTTTCAGCGGCGTGTGAGCTTTGTTTGCCGCGTTGTAAAGTAGTTGGAAATAAAGCTAATTTCACGACAATCGCCCTGATATGTTCAATGTCGCCAGTCGCAATTAGCTCTGCTGAAAACTCGCCAGACCTTATAATACCTCTTGATTGCATAAGATTTAGCGCTACCTTAACTTTTACTAAACTTAGGCTCCTCGTGTCGTCCATTTCACCGAACACAAATTCGTGTCGCGATCTGTTTGAACTTTTCAAACAATTATCGACCAACTGTAATAGTGAAGTTCCGTTGGATAGATCTGTCAAAGACTCAATATGATAATTAGGGTCCTTAATCTTACTATTAACCCACTGAATGTGTGATGAAAAGTCCTCTTCTTTCTGAGCTGCAAACATACGCCGACCACAAGCTATGGGCATTAGGAATCCATATCGGAGTGACGAGATAAGCCATCTGGCAGGACGAAATAGGACTTTCGGTTTTCGTGAATTGTACATTATTCAATATTGTACAGTTTTCTCTTTAAATTGTCGCTACTAAGGTTAGACTTTTTGTTCGATCCCGTTGAAACCCTTGTTATACTGTCGAATATACAACGTTCAGCTAATCTTGTACTTCTAGTTTTACCAATTGACCGTATTTATTTAGTCAGTTCTCTTGACTTAAGCCGGTATAACCGAAGTGTTCCGAATGATCGGACAAAAATCCGGTGGTGATAGGACAAAATTTAGCTTTATTGCACTTCCACAGAAGACAATTGCAATAATGTATTCTTTGTCTTTATACTGTACTATGGTTTTAGTTTTGATATATTACCATACCACGGTGGAAAGCTGATAACGATGTGTATGTGTATCGAGTGATTCGTATCCAGCTGAAGGTCCAAAGGCAAAGATTTATATCCACTTTAACTGATATACTGAAGTATTCGTTTCCCTCACCTATTTGGGCGTTAAACCAGTTCGCCTTGTTGTTTTTCCCCTCGACGAGCAGACAGTTTGTTTAAATATTTGTTGTTATGCTTTCCGAATCCCCTAATTCCTTCCCAGCACGAGTCCTTTGTGACTATTAGGACTAAAATTACGACGTCAGCTTGTTTTCTTCTTGTTATGTCCGGAGTTCCCCTTATAAACGTTCCTAAGATAAAGTGTCGGGATTAGTACGTGATCACTTTCACTTTAAAGCCAGTGACTTCATCATTACTTTATATAGCTTAAATAGTTCTACAACTTTACCCTGTTCCCGGTTGACCGTTTCAGCAGCGCTTCAATCCAAGTCTTTTATGAAGCAAAGCTATTGCCTACCTTTTAATATAGACGAGTTTGCTGACTTCCTGTGTTATTTGTGGCTTGTGCTTAGCTTGACCTCTTATAACACCGCCGAATATACTGCTGTGGCTTGCTTGTTTTCGTCCGAAAAGTACAGCAAAAATCGTCTTGTCTTCTTTTTTTGGCCTTGCAAATTTTGAAGAAATATTCACTTTGTACAAAAACCGAAAATGCGCAATATTCCACTGTTTTCGAAGTGCCGTATTTCGATTTACAGTCAAACTGAAATGATTTTCAAATGATATAGGTTTCTCTCGTTACCGATTTTCAGCTGATAATCTGTTTAATATATAGAAGTTCAAAACCAACGATGATGTTCGTGCAGGCAAAATCTTCTCCACGTTGCGTGATCTATAGTTGAGTAAACAATGCTAGTCAAATTATTCCCCTTTGCTATGACTTCAGGACAAACATGTCTGAATTGATGAGCGATTAATGAATCGTACCGCACGAAAAGACGGCGTTATAAATGTTCTGTGGACTTACATGGCTCGAAACGGATTTAAGAGTTAAGCCCAGTGACCTTCGGAAGTAAGGGTTAAAATGTACTTCCTTCTCGCCAATGTAAACAAAATTTTTCGATACAAAGTATGTCTAAAATATTTGGCCAAGCGCGTATCTCATTGAATACCAAAGTTAGCCAAACGTGTAAGCTTATTAAACTCATTAGTCCGATTGTAGAATGCATGCAAGAGAGTGTTTCATTCTTACAGCTCGACCGTAATTAGGGGAAGAATGTGTCGGGCAGGGAACAGTAACCATTGGCAATGAAATTATAGTCCTTGAGATTGAACGAAAATTTAACGATTTGTTAAAAGATCTTTCAAAAACAGACGCTAGGTTTGTTTCAGTTGCTTCCTGTTTTTGGTGGTCAGATTAGGGTAACACGATACACAGATAAGCGTCACAGAATAGGGAAATCGGTTTAGATTTCAGCATAAAAATATACACAAATTGTCACCTGCCAGACAGCACGCCGTTCTAGACTATTCCCATTAGGTTGGTCCAGAAATTAATCAAACCTTTGGCCGGTGCCCAATATGCTCGCCCACTTATAGACCTGTCACCAGGTGTTTTCAAGTTTTACTTCAAGCGTTTTTCATACGCACGAACGCACACGAAAAATCTTGTGAAATACCAAAATGAAAAAATAACTAGAATTTACTTTTCATAATCAGATTTAATATTCATTTTAACGCTGTTGTGAAATTGTAAAATGTAAGAGGTTTATTGTTTACGTGCGCACAAAAACGCATAAGGCTGCATGGAAATTAAGCGGCCTGCGGGCTTCTGCATGAGCGCATGACCATAATCTGGGTTTTTTGTTGTTTAGTTAGTGGGAATTATCAAAGTCGAGAAAGATTTAAACTAAAATATGCATGAACTTTATCACGCTCGCCACTGACAAGATACTAGCAACATGATTTATTTAGAAAAATCAAGATGTCATGCAATACGGCTTTTCTTTCAATGTCATTCCTGGATTATTGAGGGATCATGGCAATAATAGAGAGACGGCATGTCTAAAGTTGAAAAAAATCCCTTTTAACAGTGTAAATCAGAATATTTCAAATTTTTATTATAATCTGACGATGCCTTAAGGCGAAATTAAAGATACCGCGGTGACACAAGCACTAACATTTCGTGACTATTTCAAACGTACTTTGTTGCATGGACTATGATATTATTTGCTATACGATTTTTGCTATACAACTAAATGTTGTTCTTTATCTCCTCAGTCGAAAAGGTTTCCTGCACTGGCTTTGGCATTTCTTACCTATCCGGGATTAAGTGATACACAAAGTACCACTTTTGCTCGTTTGTATCATTGTATGCCAACTATTGCCGAGTCCGGCGGTGAACAAAGAAGACTTTTCCGAGCATAATTTGAGCACTTGTGCGGTTAACCAGCCAACCAATGGCATTTTATCATATTGCAACACCCAAAGCGCTTCACATTGCTATAGGAGCAAAATCTGGTATCAGTAAAAAACAATGAGTTGGCATTCCTTTATATGCGCTATATGTGGGTTATATTTGCTAAAATTACTGCAAAACTGTCACATATAGTTTTAAACTTGAGGTGTACA